CCATTTTACTAATTCAAAAGCATTACAGAAAATTTCTGTTCAGACGAACTCCTTATGAAGAGTATGAAGGTCAGTTCTTGTCCAACAGGAATGAATGATGGACCCCCTTTAAGCCGGATGAGTTCAAACCATCTTCAACATCAGCAAAGTGCTGCCGGCTGGTAATACTAATCAGAAAATCTCAACTGTTATCTCTAGCAACTTTTCTCAGATTATTTGTTTAATATCATGATGACTTAAAACCAAACAGTTTTCCCAAATTCTTCTGATGGTAAGACACTGCTGTTGTGTAAAGTGCTGGATGCCTCTGGAAAACATGGATTCCCTCTTGACGTTTGGAGGGTTTAAGGAATGGACAGGCATTGGAAATTCACCGCTGCAGGGATCCAAGGCATAAGATGTTTCTTACAATATATAATGAAACTTTCCTGGATACCCAACAGTATGCTTCATATAGACGGGAAGGTACTGATTGAGCCACATATTAAAGCTAGTAAATAAGTTAAAATAGCTACTCTTAACTCTATTTTCTCTTTTTTGACACTCTCTATAAACCTGATGGATGGTTCTGCGGGAAATTACTTATAGATCTTTAATCACCTAATAACTAACTTGCCATTCTGACACCAAAGCAAATATGTGTTCTTAGTTGCCTCAGCTCTCTTTATTTCTTATTTTGATCCACACTTTAAACCACGGTTATCCATCCTTTTCCACATCTTACCCAGTCCAGTTAGTTTCTCTTTTGTAATTGGCTCTTCTCCAGTTGAAGAGGTGTGCTCAAAAGAAAAAAAGGCTAGTTATTGTACATAATCTGACAGAGAGAATAAATTAGAAATATATACTTAAATATCATGCAAACCGATAGACATAGATATAAACATGTGAACAGAAAATAAACTAATCTGTCATATTAATTAAACCCATAGTAACATGTCAGCATCTATCATCATTTTCAACATGTTCCAAAAGGAAAAATAACCTACGTTGCCCACATCAGAAACCACCACTAACACTGATACCCTTGGAAAGTGGAGAGTTTGGGGTTTGATCTGGAAGGTGGCTTGTGTGTCTAATACAGCAGTGATGCACTATCATTGTTGTCTGTGTTATCTTATTTTTGCATCTATTTACTGTTTTCTTTTTTTTTCATGTTTCTTCATTTCACAAAGAACTAAATGCCATGATGTTGTAAACTTTCTCGAAGTTAAATGTGATGGTAATCATGAGCACTAACAGCATTGTAATTAGTCTGAGATGGTGGAATTCAACATTGTTCTGATCACTGATGCTGTTTATTTAATTTCACATGCAATGCGATGAGCGTCTGCAGATAAACATCAAAGGGAGTTGAGTTTTGTACCATTTTAATTTTTTACTTTTTATTTTTACAAATCCGTAAAAACAAAACTGTTGTTTTTTTTCCCCATGAATTCTGCTATAATTTAAACTCTGATTTAGATGTCCAATACTCTGGAGTAATATTTAATATTCAAGACATCTGTCCTATAGAAAAAAGGTAATTAACTATGCAATCTGATTAATAATCGAGATCTATGGATATTGAATCAGTTGGCACTTCATTTATGTATTTGCAAAGAAATGAGAACAAGACAATTATAACAGCTCTCACAGCTTGATGTTATACTTTGCTCTGATTTTGAAAAACTTTTTCTCGCAAACTTAAAGTCTGTAAAAGAGCTTTGAAGGTCTATACACTCACCGGCCACTTTATTAGGTACACCTGTCCAACTGCTTGTTAACACTTAATTTCTAAGCAGCCAATCACATGGCGGCAACCCAGTGCATTTAGGTATGTAGACATGGTCAAGACAATCTCCTGCAGTTCAAACCGAGCATCAGTATGGGGAAGAAAGGTGATTAGAGTGACTTTGAACGTGGCATGATTGTTGGTGCCAGAAGGGCTGGTCTGAGTATTTCAGAAACTGCTGATCTACTGGGATTTTCACGCACAACCATCTCTATGGTTTACAGAGAATGGTCCGAAAAAGAAAAAACATCCAGTGAGCCGCAGTTCTGTGGGTGGAAATGCCTTGTTGATGCCAGAGGTCAGAGGAGAATGGCCAGACTGGTTCAAGCTGATAGAAGGGCAACAGTGATTCAAATAACCACCCGTTACAACCAAGGTGGGCAGAAGAGCATCTCTGAACGCACAGTACGTCGAACTTTGAGGCAGATGGGCTACAGCAGCAGAAGACCACACCGGGTGCCACTCCTTTCAGCTTAGAACAGGAAACTGAGGCTACAATTTGCACAAGCTCATCGAAATTGGACAATAGAAGATTGGAAAAACGTTGCCTGGTCTGATGAGTCTCGATTTCTGCTGCGACATTCGGATGGTAGGGTCAGAATTTGGCGTCTATAACATGAAAGCATGAATCCATCCTGCCTTGTATCAACGGTTCAGGCTGGTGGTGGTGTCATGATGTGGGGAATATTTTCTTGGCACTCTTTGGGCCCCTTGGTACCAATTGAGCCTCGCTGCAATGCCACAGCCTACCATAGTATTGTTGCTGACCATGTCCATCCCTTTATGACCACAATGTACCCAACTTCTGATGGCTACTTTCAGCAGGATAATGCACCATGTCATAAAGCTGGAATCATCTCAGACTGGTTTCTTAAACATGACAATGAGTTCACTGTACTCAAATGGCCTCCACAGTCACCAGATCTCAATCCAATAGAGCATCTTTGGGATGTGGTGGAACGGGAGATTCGCATCATGGATGTGCAGCCGACAAATCTGCGGCAACTGTGTGATGCCATCATGTCAATATGGACCAAACTCCCTGAGGAATGCTTCCAGCACCTTGTGAATCTATGCCACGAAGAATTGAGGCAGTTCTGAAGGCAAAAGGGGGTCCAACCCGTTACTAGCATGGTGTACTTAATAAAGTGGCCGGTGAGTGTATGTCTGAGTCTTTAATGTACTACTTAACTAACAAACTCACAGTGTATGTTGTATTCTTACTCCACTGGACTTAGATGTGAACTATGCACTGGAAAAATGATCTAGAAATAAGTACAAATTTCTTAAATTAAGTGTATTTACCCTTGATTTGAGTAGGTAAATGAGATAGTTTGCCAATGGAATCAGTATTTTTACTCTTAAAATAAGATAATTAGATCATATTTACTTGAAATAAGACAATGCAATTGTGTTTTCTTATTTTAAATCTAAATTGTCTTGTTCCATTGGCAAGATGTCTCTTTTGTCTCCTCAATTCAAGAACAAATGCACTTATTTTAAGAAAAAATTACTTATCTAGACTTTGGGTTTTTTGCAGTGTGCTGCTTTATATAACCTGTGTCCATCTGCTTGCCTAACCTCATTTTTTTCCTAAGAATTTTCTTCTTCCTCTGCTTCTGTCTTAGACACTGTATCTTGATCTATCTCATCAAACAACTCAATATCAGAGTTTTTCTGAATAATATACTAACATTTTCACAGCCCCTACGAAGGATTTATTTTATTACCACTTAAAAAGAAAATGAAGAATAAAGTATAGTGTCAACTACGAGGACATTTTAAAAACATTTAAAAACTATGATAAAAGACAGTTCACAGTTTTAATGTTGTTTTGAACTTGTGTTTGTTAAGATACTAGAATATGCAAACAACAGTTCAAGCAAAAATTTGTAAAAAATAAAAATAAAAATAAAAGAAAAAAAAGGTATAATGCAATTTCTTTTTCCCTTTTTATAACATGTGCTTGGATTAATGGATGCCATTTTCCTGGAAGAGAAGTGAACCACAACTCCACCCCTTCATAGGAAAACCATAAATTTCCACTGCAGGTAGCAAAAAGAGTTAGTTCAGTAATATGCAGTGGGTGGGAGAATCCAGGTTTAAGAATAGCTATCTAAGAAAACCTAGCTGATTGGATCAAATCACAAACTTTCCAGTATTCCCAGTATTCCCATGTAGCAACCATATAGACTGTTATTTGCATCAGAAGTCTTTTTTGCAGAAAAAAGAAACAAAGAGTCCCCGGTCAATGAGAAAAGAAAATGTAAAAACTTAATGTCAGCAGAAGTATAATCAAGGAGCTTTATGTATGTAGTTAAACTTTGAGATGGAAAATAGACTAGATATAAATAGATGCTGCAATAGCTTATTAGGTTGATTTCTCGAAAGAGAGAGGAGAGTTTAAACACAGAACATAAAGGTAGTGCAGCAATAGCTCAGCTGATGGCCTCCTCTCAGAGGGTGGTACAGCTGAGTAGAAACAATGGGCCGGGTGTAAGTTCTCTGGAGAGAAAAAGCAGAGAGAACATAATGTTCATTACAGGAATACCTACATATAAACAACAATTGAAGCCAAATTGTATCCAATTTTATCCCTGGCAGGAAGCACAATTTCTTTATTTTAACAGTAAATATTTTTTTGTCATATGTTCTGTTAATTTGTTTCTGTGTGAATATATATCTTCTGAGCTGTCTTTGTGATACCTGACACATAGTCTCTTACAGGTCTTTATTTAGGGCTTGCTATATTAAGCCCTTTCCCATTGAAATACAGCACCAGCTGTACTGGCTGTGTGTTATGGCTACTGTTGCAACAGGACTGGACTGTCCCCCCTCTTCCTTCTCGGCTGTTTTTTTCCTCTCCTATGCAGACAGATCCAATTCAATTAACCCTAATATTCATGCCATCCATTTGTGCTGAAATACATGCACTTTAATGGGACAAAGGGGGATGTTTGGAATGATAGGTGTTCTTCTAATTCCAACTTATAAGTGGTTATTTCCCCTTGGATATCTAAAATTATGTTAAGAATCTCTTGCTAATGGTTATGGGCTTTTTCTGGTTTGATTTTTTATATATATATATATCTTCTAAATAGATATGTTTCATATCTTCTAAAAATATATCTAATATGTGATGAAAATGTATGAAATACCTAAAAAAGATTCTGAAATTATCTGTAATACTCAACCAATTAACATGCATTTTCTTCTTTCTTTATTTAGAGACACATCGTGCAGAGCTTAGATGGACTTGGTCCTGAATGGCGACTCACAACTGACCTGAAAGACTTGAGGGAAGCTGTCAAAGAAGAAATGGATGTGTTTGGTGGTGCGCCACGCTTCTTAGCCTACCCAAGACCTGTAGTGGTCCAAAGTGGGACTGATGCAGTTCTTAAGTGTCAGATCGGAGGTGATCCACGACCTGCTGTTATCTGGGAGCGAAACAACGAAAAGATTGACCCTCATGGACGATACAGGGTTTTTGAAGACGGGAATGTTTACAACCTAATCATTACAGCTGTTACTATCGAGGACAGTGGCCAATACATTTGCAAAGCTAAGAATAGCATCGGGGAAACATATGCAGCCGCCACCCTAAAGGTAGAGGGTGAGGCTCAGGAATTGGAGCTTAGAGAGGAAAATAAGCCCCGTTTCCTCATTAAGCCTCTTTCAACTCGTGTTGGACGTGGGGAAGATGCTGTCTTCTCCTGCAAGCTTTGGGGAAACCCACGACCAGAAGTCGTCTGGGAAAAAGATGGCAGAAAACTCAACGAAATATTTGAGAGCACACATTTCAGTGTGGGCTACCAGGATGGAGGATGGTTTCAGCTTAAGATCTTTAAGACTCGAGCTCCGGACGGTGGGGTGTATACCTGTAAGGCTCGAAATGAGTTCGGGGAAGCACTTGCAGGAGCTGTGTTGCTTGTCGATGCAGGTCCTGGACATGAAGAAGAAGGAAACCGTAATGGCTACACCAATGGACATTGGAAAGGCCATCAAGGAAAACAAAGGATAGGTAGACAAGTGCCAACTCGGCTAAAGGATGACGGATTGACAAAATCTACTAAAGTAAAAATGTTTGCTGTGACTGAGGGGAAGCATGCCAAGTTCCGATGCTTTGTTACTGGAAAACCCAAACCAGAAATAATCTGGAGAAAAGACGGTAGACTTATTCTCTCTGGAAGGCGTTACTTGTTATATGAAGACAGAGAGGGGTACTTCACACTCAAAGTTCTGTACTGCAAGCAAAAGGATAATGGAGTTTATGTCTGTGCTGCATCAAATACTGCAGGGCAAACTCTCAGTGCTGTACATCTCTCTGTCAAGGGTAAGTCAATATTTCTTTAAGTGATTTCATTCATTTGAAACCAAGACAAATGAAGCAAAGCAGTTTCTATTAAGTGTGGGTACAGCCAGGGATGTCTTCTTTAGCAAGGAAAGTGTGTGGAATGATATGTCTCAGATTTCTGTCCATATGATTCTAGGATGATGTAAGTATGAGAAATAGATGCACTGAGGACATTTACTGGAGTAAAGCCAAAGAGAGAAGGGATAAGTATAATATAAGAAGTCTTTTAAGGCTCATTGATAATATGATACATCAAAGATCAAAATATCCTTTTTTAACCTTACAAAGCCTACACATGGAAAGTTTAAATGCCTAGAATTTAATTGTAGATTTTAATCACCTGCTGGCAATATACAGCACAGTCAGATTATTCAGAGTTCTTAAGGAATCAATAAAATATAAGAATGTAAGCTTAGTGAAGAAGAAAATATTGGGTTGGATTCAGCAACTTAAATGAGCAGAAAGTCTGCAAACATACTCAGCTCGTTAAAGTTCTATGGGTTGTTCTCCATGCGAGGTTAAAGGGAGTATTATGTTTCTCACATGGCCTAGGGAAGTCTAAACCACAGTATCAGTTTGAGATAGTAAATGGGTTCACATTGGGAACGTTATCTGTTTCTTCTAACAGCCACTTAGAATATATAAACATATTTACATCCAAAATGTTACAGAATACATATAAACATATTTGAAATAAATTTGAAACAGAAGGAATTTAATTGGTCTAAGAAAAAGAAATTATGAGCTTTACATACTGATGGCTAAATAAAGAGCAGATTCTGTTGTTTACAACTGTCTGGTACCATCTGATGGTGTCAGTTGCAAGCACTTTATTCTCTATCTAACACCTCAATGTGTTTACTGCCTTCTCATTCCTTAACAAAATAAGTTCCTTGTCTTTTACATTTCTTGTTTGCGTAGCTGGAATCTGTCATTAAAAAAAAATACTTGAATTACAGTGTTACTATAAAAACATAGCTGTGTTGTGAGATTCCATTGGGTTAAATTCTCTTGAGTAGAACCAGTAGCAAGAAAAATAAAAGAAATTATTTTGTTTACATGTACAGACATGCAATAGATATACAGATTATTTAATTTGTGAGGAGGAGTAACATCTAGTACAGGCAGCAAAGGGTATAAGAGGTGGCTTAAACTGGGTCCCTAGTAGAAGAATTAGCCAGCATTACCAGCACATAAAACTGTTTGATAGGGGTCTTATTTTGGGTTTACAAGAGGGGAGGCTGTCATTTGATGCAATATCCTAGCATGCTGATACACAAATAACTAAATGGTTTGACTAAAACACTTAGGCATCCAAAACAAAGGTTTGGTTTGAATATAATTTGGTGCAAATTTAGAGCAAATGTACAGTCATATGAAAACGTTTTGGCACCCCTATTAATCTTAATAATTTTATTTCTAAATATTTGGGTGTTTGCAACTGCTTTTTCAGTTTGATATATCTAATAACTGATGGACATAGTAATATTTCAGTATTGGACAGATGGCCGCTCACACTGAGCCTGGTTCTGCTGGAGGTTTCTTCCTGTTAAAAGGGAGTTTTTCCTCTCCACTGTCGCTACAAGCATGCTTAGTGTGAGGGATTGTATTTGAGTCAATGAGTCTATGCAATCAACTGGTTTTCCTTAGATAGAAAACTTTGTATCAATTTGACTGTATGATCTGGTTAAACTGTAACGTGCCTTGAAATGACATGTGTTGTTGGCAGCAGCACAACTAATATTTTATTAGTTCTCTTCTGATATTTTTCTGGTATCACAGACAAACAGGAACAGACCAGATAAAAATAATATGAAGAGGAAAAAATAGAGTGAGCATGAAGTTAGAGGCTGGCCTAACGAATACTGCTGAATGATTGATATGTATATATATATGTTTGGGCTACTCTATGAGCCTGGAACTCAACGCTACTCCAGATTTCTGACTATGACCTGGATGACTGAGAATCTTCACCAGTAGTACCTTCATAGGTTTACCTAAAAAGTCCATCAGACAGCTGCAGCTGATACAAAACGCTGCTGCCTGTGTTCTCACTACAACTAAGAAAGTAGAGCAAATCAGACCCGTCCTTACACTGGTCCCATGTAGTTCAGAGAATAGACTTTAAAATCCTTCTGTTTGTATATCAATTACAGAAAAGATAAGCACCTCGATACAAAACAAATTTTTTGTCAGTGGATCAACCTCCCAGACCATTCAGATTTTCTAGTCCAACCCCACTCTCTCTCCACCCAGAACTAAAACCAAACATGGAGAAGCAGCATTTAGTTCAAATGCTATACTTATCTGTGAAACTCCTCCAGAAGAGTGTAAAAGTTCTGAAAGTATGAGTTGTTTTTTTTTTAAGTCAAAGTTAAAAACCCATTTGTTGAACAACTTTTGACTGTTAAAGTAGCTGCTAACTCAGGTACCATTAGCCTAAGTTTGTGATATTTGTTTTACTACCTGCTCTTATGTTTCATAATTATTAGCTTGCATTCTGCTTTAATCTTTCCTCTTTTTAATGTATAATTCATGTAATACACATACATACTAGGGGTGGAACGGTTCACAAAATCCACGGTTCGGTTCGGTTCACGGTTTCGTGGTCACGGTTTTCGGTTTGGTTCGGTATATGTTGATTGTTACCCCGAAATCCAATAAAAATTTATGAAATTTATGAAGAAAAAAAATGTATGAATTGTAATTATTTTTAATGATCCGCGGAAACCCTGGATCATTTCCGCATATTTTGCTGCTTTGAATTTAATCATCTCGTGCATGCCCTCTACGATCTCCAAGGAACTCAGAGCGGAGCGGACGGAAGCCACAGTGGAGGCTGTAGGCTTTGCTTTGCGCAGGCGGGCTAGAGCGCAGCAGGGCGGAGCGGAGCGCTGATGGAGTATGAGGGATTTCGGGGTTAGCCTGACATGTTGGTCATGTTGCTGTTAGCATAAACAAAACGTGTTGCACAATGCTTGCACACTGTTGCACTTTTATCCACAACTTTCTTTCCGCCGTCATCGTAGGTCACTCTAAATGCAAAGTGGTCCCATACAGCAGACCTATAAAGTGCTGCTGGCACGTCTTCCAACCCTTCTTCTTTCCCCCTCGCCATACCCACACAATTCTCCACAACAACTGATTTTTTTCTGCTACACCCGGCTATGCTGCTTCGCTTCTTCTTCTTCTTGTTTACTACTTGTGGTTGGCTTTGGTCGCAGTACCGCCACCTTCTGCTCTGGAGTGTACACACTTCGCCTATGAGAAAAAGAAGCAGCGCATGAACCGAACGCAACACACATGTATCGAACTGAGACAGTCCAACTGAACGGTTCGGACAGTTTTCATAAACCATTCCATCCTTAATACATACATACATACATACATACATACATACAATTATTAAGAGTATTATAACGTGTGTTTATTTTCAGAGCCACCTGTCCGGTTTAAGCAACCTCTCTATGACCTTGAAGTTTGGGAACGGGATTTAGCTGTTTTAGAGTGTGAAGTTCCAGAAGACTCTGTTCCAATCACATGGTATCTAGAGGACCGACGACTGCAGCCAGGGGCCAAATATGGAATGGAGGAGTGGGGAACAAAACGAAGATTGACAATCCGTGACATTGGAGTTGATGATGATGGAATTTACCTCTGTGAGATGCCTGATGGTGGTAGAAGTATAGCAGAGGTGGCTGTGAAAGGTAAATACATTTGTCATATGTGATTTCGAATGACTAATATTAAGCAAAGCACCTTTTACATTCTGTAAACCCACAGGTATGAAAGCCTCTTGTTTTCATTTACGTTTTTATATTTAGATGGAGATACCAGTTTTGAACTGATGCTTACAATTTGTACAAAGCTAGACACTCACCAGTCACCAAAAGTTGAACAAAACTGACCAGAGAAAATATTTTACTTTTTAATCTGAAATTAGCATATACAAAGGGTAGTCAACAATTGTTCAATTGAGATAAAAATATTTTCCTTTCAGAAAGATGCTCTGAAATATGACAAGCAAAAAAGGTTTCACATGGTACCTCTAAATGTTGGAACACTCTACCTTTGTCTGACTCTACACCACCTCCGATGTTATATATTTCTTTTTTTTTTCTATCACCATTGAAATGTACTGGCTCCCTTAAATGACATTAAGTATTCATGGGAAAGTATGTCCAACAAATTCCCTCAGTATAAACAAGCTCGAAGTGCATTGTAACATGTGGTTGCTTCTCCAATAAGATCAAACTATTTAATTTTAATCTGTTTTCTGTACTCCTAAGCTCCTACCTTAGTAATTGCACAGTTTTAGAATTCCACTTATATCAGAGTGCTCCCCGTTTGATATATGCAGAATGTATGTTTCCCATCAAATGTATATGAAGACAAACTTCATCAGTTTATGGTACAATTCAGAGATTTTACTTTGTATTTCCCCCACAATGCAAAATACAACACAAGAAGTGTTGTATTTTGTGATTGTTTCTCCCTTCCTGTCAAACTCATGACATTCCATTCAACTTGAGGCATATTTCCAATCAAAATACACCAGAAGTCTACCTTGGTCAGAACTGTGCAAGCACTATTGCAGAAAATCTGTGTCCCCAAACCCCATGAATTAAAATTATAAGTAATTGTTACCATTTTTAACAATCTGTCTCCATCGGCTAAGACCCATAACCATATCTGGTGTGTTCTCGCCTTAAGCCAAAGTGGTATTAATATAAGCAGTGTCAATATGGCTTATCATGCAGTACTTTTAATCAATCAACAATACATTTTCAGCATGATGAAATATCCCCTAATTTTCGAATCCCCAAAGACTTAAAGAAATATACAGAGGTAAATGTCTCCAGTGTGAGATCAATAAAGTTAAATAATTATTATACATTTCTGTCTGTCATTGGTCGGTCGGTCGGATGGATGGATGGGTGGATGATATAGTGAATCTTCATTTTTTCTTTCCAGGTACCATTTTGCGAAAGCTTCCAAGGAAAGTGGATGTCTTGGAAGGTGAAAATGCAGCCTTTTGTGTGGAAGTGGAAAAAGAAGAAATGGACATACATTGGTACAAGGATGGCATTGAGCTTCGTGAAACCCATCAGACAATTCTTAAGTCTTTTGGTCGAACTCACATTCTGGTTTTTGTCAATACAATGCCCCAAGACTCTGGCCTTGTGACCTTTCTTGTTGGCAGGTCCAAGACATCATCTCAGTTAAGAGTGAAAGGTGGGTCCCATTGTTAATATTTGTCACCACATAAACTAGACTGTTTGGAAAAGCGAAACACTTACCTGAAGCAAATATTTTCTTCCTTTTAGCGGCCCGTCATTGTCCTCCAAGTTGTCCGGTGGGAGTTCAGATCAACACAGAGCGTGCTAATGCAGCTCTTCTCTCATGGGTTCCTGCTCCAGATTCACGAAAGAACCCCCCATCTGGTTATGTGCTTGAACGACAAGAAGTAGGCACTGGTTCACAAGAGTGGCTGCAGTGTCTGACCACTGACTCTGCAACCTCAGTGGAGATCCTTGGTGACAGTGTTCCATGTGAAGCAGACTATCGTTTTCGCATTTGTAGTGTAAATAAATATGGAAAAAGCAATAATGTTGAGTTTCCAAGAACTGTTCACCTAGGTACTTCTTTTCCTGGTCATCAAACATGTGGTTAAGGCCTATATCAGAATAAACACATGAAAATTATTTTTCTTTGCAGTTCCTGTAGCCAGAATTCAAGCTCCTTTACAGGATGCCTTGGTGCCAGAGGGACAAGATGCTGTTTTCACCATTGAGCTTTCTGCTTCGGTTATTGGTACATGGTTCTTAAATGGTACGCAGCTTCAAGATGATGAGCGTTACTCTGTCCGCCGCTCAAGAACACACCAGTCACTTCGTATTCGAGGAGTACGTGATACAGACAATGGAGCGGAGATAACATTCATTGCTTATGGCATCCGAGATTCAGCAGCCCTGTACATCCAAGGTATGTATGGGTCAGTTTGACAGTTGACTTTATAGTATTAAAGACCCCAAAGCGTCTACATTTGTACCAAATTAAAATATAAAAATGTTAGCTGAGGAGGGAATAGGGCAAAGAATAAAGATTATTCAGGACAAGTTAAAGGATTAAGAAAGGTTGTTTTGAAATGCTATAAATTTGAGCGACAGTTAAGCCATTGGAGATTTGAGGCATGGGTAACATTTGTGAGAGTTTGGCTCCCAGACTCCCTGATTTATTTTAGAAACAAAGAGGACGGGAAGAGGAAGGTCTCAAAAACTGTAACAAGCTAAGCACATTTGGGGAAATATTTTTTTACACCTAAAAAGTTAGAAACCACTGGTTTTTGTCTTAATCTTGAGCCATACTCTTTTTGTCCAATATTTACAGCTCCTCTGGTTAAGTTCTCACCACTGTCCGAAATGGATCGAAACAAGTTTGTAGAGGTTGGCAACCCGATTGTGCTCTACTGTGAGCTCTCAGACAGTGCTGCTCCAGTTAACTGGTACAAGAACGGCATTGAGTTAAAAAGTATGGAAGGTCTCCATATTCAATCTGAAGGCACAATGAGACGAATTGTCATCCAGTCTGCAGATTTCTCACACTCAGGAGTGTACTGCTGTGATGCTATTGATGACGTAATCAGGTTTAACGTTGAAGTCGAGGGTAAGAGATTTTGAGTTTCTATGTAGATATCTTTCTACTATAAATCCAGTAATTGCTGTGTCAGTTGTCCACTCTAAAACATCTTACTTAGATATAGAAATATTTTATAAGGATAGCTGATAAACAGAGCTTTTACAACTTAATTGATTATTTCTTTCTCTTTATAATCTCTATAGCCCCACCCGTAAGGTTTTCAGCAGTACCAGACTCCGAAAGGAACAAAACTATCCAAGCAGGCTGGCCATTTGTTTTACAGTGTGAGCTCTCAGATCCCTCTGCCCAGGTGCACTGGTACAAAGATGGATCAAAACTCCATCATCAAAATGGAGTAGAAGTTAAAGCTGAAGGCTTAATGAGGAAACTGGCTGTCCATTCAGCAGAAGTTGCACACTCTGGCTTGTACTGCTGCAAGACAAAGGGTGATGCCATCACTTTCAGTGTGGAAATCACAGGTAATGTAATTACTCTTTAGGTGATGTGAAACAATAACAAACTCCTACTCAGCAAATCAACTAACTCTTATGATACTCTTCTGTGTTGTCCGATGTTTGGTTGTCTTTCTCCTTGCCATCAAATGTGCAGCTACTATTTCATCTGTCAGCATGTTACCAATTAAGTTATCAGGAATAGGATTAAAAATAATTATCTGAATGACTGTAACAAGGTTAACTGAGGGTTGTTATAAACTCTAAACATATCTGTAGCTCCACCAATGAAGTTCTCAGCTATTCCTGAAGATATGAAGATCAAGTTGATCGAGGCTGGCAGCCCTATAGTACTCCAGTGTGTGGTGTTGGATCCTGAAGCCCAGGTTTGCTGGTACAAGGATGAAAGGAAGCTTATATCCACCTTTGGAGTAGAAATCCATTCAGTGGGAAACACAAGAACATTAGTTATTCAGTCTGCAGAGCTCTCCCACTCTGGTTTGTACAGATGTGCCACACAGGATGATACCGTGGATTTTCAAGTGGAGATCAAAGGTGACTTTGCAGTTCCTTTCTTACGTTTTCATATCGTAACCACTACCTCCTCTCTGAAGTGCCACTAACTATCCCTGCTTAAGAGAAATGTCGTTTGATGGCTGCTTCATTCCCACAACCATAAAGAATTGGTAACCTTGCTGTGTAACTGCTCTGGCTCTCTCTTAAACTAAGGTCTCCAAAGCTCTTTTTACCTTCTGTTCAGTAGTTATATACCTGAAAGGTGTGAATTTACATAGCTTTGCGTTTATTTAGTTGTCCTGAATTCCCAATGATAGCTCAACCTGTGACATACTCAACTATCTTTGATGGTGAGAGAGCCGAGTCACTTGAAGTGAGCAAACCTCTGAAGCTGGGATGTGAGGTTGCAGACTCCACTGTCCAGGTCTGCCGGAATAAAGATGGTAAAAAGCTCTACCCGCAAAAGGGTTGGAATACAGAAAGTAATGGCACGTCAACGGGACCCATTTTCCCATCCACTGAGCTCTTGAACTCAGGAAAATGGTGCCAAACCACTGATGCCACTATCCACTTCTCTGTGGATAATAAAGGTGATATTTTTTTTTCCGGTCTTTTCAGTATTCCAGCAAAATCTAAAGCTTCGTAGACACCAGATATAACTAACATTTAAATGCATTTTTGTACATGTATATGTGATGCTGTGTCTTAAGATGTGTGTCCAAAAGGTGTTGCAAAAATTAATCTCTACTTACAGATTGAAGATGTGTTTTTAGTATGTAAAAGCAATGCAAGCCTTCAGTGGGAGTGAGAGTTGACAGTTAGCTGTGAAAGCTCCTAAAGCCTGGCATTTCTTCAGGGTGCAAATAACAACTTTGTACTCAGTCCAGTTATATTTTAAATCACTATCTTTAGCTCCAACATTGCCTCGCCACCGGGAGGTTGGGGGGTCCCAGACTCTTGAGGAAACCTGTCCAAAAAAAACAGTTGGTGAAAGCTTAGACCCTGCAAGCCAGGTGTCATGGCAAAGAGATTCAGAATCCTATTCAAGCATGAAATATGATTTTGAAATGGGAGACATCAGAGAAGCACTTGTTGTTGAACCAGCTCATCCTTCAAACTCTGGAGCATACTATTGCACAACAGCCAATGATGTGACCAAATTATTAGTAGACAATCAAGGTGATTTTTTTTTCTTATATGCAAATGTTAATTTATAATGTAGCTGTGACTCATTCTTACAGAAATTCCTAGCCCCAATTCTTTCTCTACATCCTTGAAAGATATTGTCTTAAGGTTTGTGTTCTAGAAATAAGGATGGCATGCACTGAACCTATCCCCTAATACATGTTTTTAGTGTCCCCTCCAACATATATACTTGACCCTGGAGAGAAGACCAGGTCAACTGAAGAACACTATCCAATTGTTCAGCAGTTTGAGATTTCAGACCCTATCGCTAAAGCTTGCTGGTACAAAGATGGAACCCAGATATATCCGAAAACAGAAGCTGGCAGTGAAGAGCACAGTCAAATCTTGCCCCTTGGGTCCCAACACTTGTCTGATAATGACAGGTTTGGCTGTGATGCATCTGATGGTGTACAGTTAAAAGAGGACATGAAAGGTGCTGTACTTTGTTGTAATTTCACATTGGAGACTCAAGAATTTAGTTACATACATGAAGATTTCACCACCTCACTGTTTTCTCTTTGGCTTTGTCCAAACAGCAGGACAGTGTCACTCGGGTGACGAGATTGGTGATGTAGCTGATGCATCAGCCCAAAAGTCTATGGAAGTCAAAGGTGATTTGATCTTGCAAAATCAGTCATCAATGTTAACCCAGCCCATAAATGCCACTAACAGTAGTGGTGTATTTCACTGTTAGCTCAATCATTTGAGCCATCTCTAAATCTTTTTTTCTTTCCTTTATCATACTTTCATCCCTGAAATGTGGCCATTTCACTGATATTTTGGCCCTTAATCAAATATATAGTTTCATGTAGGTGTGTAGCCGCTTTTTCAACTAACATTTGTTATGTTTGTCAATTCATTGTGTGTTTTAACAGTCATCTTTTCTCACAACTTGCAACTCTTAAAGTACATCTTTTGTCATATTCACCTCAAGATCTTTTCATTCATGGTTTTACCCTGATCTTCTGCCCGTTGCAATGACAACGAAGTCTTCTCCTAAGAGAACCAAATAATTCTGTTTTACTTTAGAGGGATTAGTATTGATGGTACATGAGAAGTCTTATAAAGGGAGACATGTTTACTTAAAGACCAATCCTGGTCGATCTTCTTGATTGTCTTTGCAATGGATTATCCCATAACTTCATGCTAACCCCCACTGCTGTAAAAGTATTTTGTGAGAAGAAATAATAAGAACACCAACAACTGAAAACCTTTCTCTGTGTACATCACAATGCTTATAGCTACATCGCCAAGACTCTCTTCTGACCAAGAAAGGAACAAGTCTACAGAAGACGCGTACTCTGACCAAGATATCCAGATGTCCTCAAAATGCAACTCTGGCATTTTCACTGGAAACGGGAGAAATAAGTTTGATGCTGAATATATGCCAACCTCTCAGCCAACAAGTGATTTTACTTTTGACTCCAGTACCATGAAATCCTGTCTTACATTTATGCACACTGAACTGGACTCAGAGGACTCATCAATGAAGATAAACCACTCTGCAAATAAGCCAACTAAGCAACTAGACTCAGGTAACCTCCATAAGACTTTAAATGCCATGATGGAGAGTTCAAGCATCGCACAGGCTTCAACAGTACAAGAAGGCAACTTTTGTGCACTCTCAGAAAATGGAACTCTTGAACAAGAGGAATGGTTTGAACCCTTAAAATATTCAAATGTGACATCAGAGGAGACCTCACATTCCATACAGACCACTGCTCTCCAGCAAGAAAAGGCTTATGGTTCCATACAACTATCAGCTGCTTTTCCAGGAAAACTTCTAGACAGTGCATTGTCTAACAATGTCCCGGTTTCAAGGCCCAATAACTGTTTAAGGACATCATATCACCAGTCAGAGGAGCCAAATCCAGCCAAACACTCATTTATTGCACTCTCAGAGAATTTGTTTAATGCAACATCCTTTGATTTGTGTACGGATAATAAGCCTCAAAATGTCCAATATGACCATCTTAAGTCAACATCATATGGCAAGTTGGACAATCTTACTTACACAGAACAGACAGTATCCAACCTTTCAGAGTTTCTAGGTCTGTCAAGTAATCGAAAAACTGTCCAACAGCATTGCAAAAACATGGAGACAACTGAAGACCAAATGGACCAGACAAGCAGCTATGGTGAAAGTTCTACTACTTACTTTCCAGACCTTTCTAATTCCAAACAGACTTCTACGGGACAGCCAGAGATGATGTTTCTCTCGAGAAAAAATGACAGTCATTGGAGTGACAGTGTAACTGCTAATAAGGTGGCTTTTGAAGGTGACTTCAATGGTTAGCATAAAAACATAGATGGACACAATGTTGACATTGTGTTTCCTTAAGATTGCTTGTTGCAAACTCTGATATGTTAGGAAACTTTGTTTTTACTCACCTGACTTTGTCTATACTAAAACTTTAATGGATAGGGCTATACCGAGCTTGGGTGATGTACAGTAGATGGAATTTTAAAAACAGAACATATATTTACACATACATTTCTACACACATATACATGTATATTTACATACACTTAATTTGTGACATCTAACTCAATTGGCTAGCTATTTAAGGTCTAACCAACAAATATTTATTTTACGATGACTAATATCAAAGATCATATGATTCTTTTGTTATTTTAGAATATTTTTGGCATGACTAATCTTGATTTGAACTTTTGCTCTTTATCTATTTTAAAGAATAATCTGTTACAGTCACTAATAGTGATGACTCTTTTTCTTGATGTTACTTCAAGCATTCTCAACCCTGCCTGTGAGAATCACAACACTTCCTGAGGCTGAGAAGAACAAGGCTGTTGAAGTTGGTGAGCCCATTGAGCTACGATGTGAAATATCTGATCCTAACGCTCAAGTAACCTGGTTTAAGGATGGAATAGAATTATCAGAAGATTCCAAGCAAACTATGATCACAGAGGGCTCCATCAGAACATTGGCATTCCAGTCAGTGATGCTGTCTGATGCAGGGATTTACTGCTGCAAGACATCAGATGATTCAGTGGAGTTTTATGTGGATGTCAAAGGTGATCATTCATTCAATATATTATTATTAGCTAAATACCATTTTTTATGGATGGATGGATGGATGGATGGATGGATGGATGGATGGATGGATGGATGGATGGATGGATGGATGGATGGATGGATGGATGGATGGATGGATGGATGGACAGGGAAGGTTTCTTTAAGATATATGTACTTAAGCAAACATATTTTTCCATTGGTTGCTGGGAGAGTTACAGTACACAACCCAAGCAATAATAAATGTAACACTATTTTACTGAATATTAAGGATACAGTTAAAGATAGTTCCAGCACATACTGTAAAATGTTTCTGATATACACTGGCAGACCCAAATGTCCCAGAGACCCATGAGTCTTACCATCAGAGCATGCAAAAGTTTGTATAGGATATTCCATTTTTTTAAGTATAACACTGAAATGATCAAATATGCTTTATCAGATAAAGTTACAGTTTTCGATGTGTCAACCAGACATTCCTTTAACCAATAAACACTTTAGCCTTTGATGGAGAAAGCCAACGGTGGCATAATTGAACATTCCAGTGAATTTTGCCCCATGACCTTCTTCCAGATTTAACAAGATGTTAAGACCAACTCAGCTTACTCTTCTTAATATGGAGGAACCCTGAAGTTTTCAAACCCTCTAACAAGACTACTCACAACTTCCTTGGGGTAAACTAATCTAGAGCGAAAAATGCAAAACTATTCTAATCTTGATGCAAGCTGTCAAAATAAGCTTCTTGCATTTGAGAGACTGGGCTCAGTTCAAGAGTTAACATTCAAAGCTGACATCCAAAATGTACTTAGTGTACATGGTGTAGATTTGCTTTTTTCTGCACACCAAAACAAGTCACCTATGCGGCTTTCGGACTCTGATTAGAAAGCCGTCCATGTTTCCCTTCCTCTGGAGGCCTTGTGGGTATCTCCAGTTGGTAGGATACTATTGGGAAGACAAGGAAAGAGTTGGAGAATATAAATATATTATCTAGCTTAGACATGCAGCCTGGACTGTCCAGAATTTATGGGAGAGGGATGTCTGGATTTTCCTTTGGGACCTGTTTCCTCTATTGCCTGATATCAAATAAGCAGTGAAAAAATAGATGGATAGAGCTCTGAGCTATAAAAGAGTTTTTTTGTATTTGATTTTAATTCATAAATTCAAGAACAATAATAATAATAATGATACAATCTTATTTAGTGGTTATACTTCACTTACACAATTTAATGTATTATACCACAAAGATGTTGGTGGTAAGGGTTCATATTTCTGTCCATTTGATGATAACAGTATGCCTGACTAATTATACTTTACATTTAATCCTTTAGCTCCTCCTTTGACATTTGCAACTTTATCTGAGGCTGACCAGAAAATGACAGTAATAGCTGGCTCTCCCATAGCTCTACAATGCGAGCTGTCAGACCCATGTGGACAAGTCAATTGGTACAAGGATGGAAGAAAGCTGCTAGCTCAAAGTGGAGTAGACATCCAGTCACAGGGAAATTTGAGAAGTTTGGTTGTGCCATCCGCTGAGCAAGCTCATACTGGTGTGTACCGGTGCGAGTCAAAGGATGATGACATCCAGTTCTCTCTGGAAGTAAAAGGTGACGCACAGAAAACCTTACAATGCTTTTAGTGTCTTGCAAAGCATTAACTCCAGGTCCTTGAGTTAACCGACTTCTATTATTTAACGTAGTGTTTATTATGCTGCTTTTTTTAATACATATAACCTTTAAAAAAAATCAAAGATGGCCTCACATTGTTTGGTAACTAAAAATAGTACCTACTCACAACTATATCTCTAAATGAAAAAGATTTTTTTAACAAAATAAAACAAAAATGATATCCGTTCTTTCTTAATCTCCACTAAAAGTGTTACTTCTTGATAGAGTTCTTTAGTATGAATATCTGCTGTTTTAAAGAGGTTGGATTTCTTGGTTTTATTCTTTGACATTACTAAACACGTGTGGAGGAAAAGAAAAAAAAGCAGAAAACATGTTCTTGCTTGCAACTTAACTCTAATCTGTTGTTCTAAAAGAACTGTATGATTCTGAAGACTGTAATGTGACGATCTCAGCAAGCTTTACTCTTCCAGACAATCTTTTGGTTTGTTTTATGTCTCTTTCTTTCTTGTATGTTTGTTCTGTCAAAAATTTTGTTGTGAGCAACGTTCGTCTTTTGGATGTGTAAGTCAATTTAAGATAAAGTAAACTGGTCTTCACTTACTTCAATAAATTGTATTAAGGAAGTCATATTTGTATTTATTATTTTCTTTTGCAATATCCAGAACCTATAGGACTACCTGTGAGGTTCTCAAAGCTGCTAGAGGAGGACAGGAACCGGTCCATTGAAGAAGGGAAACCTATTGTCCTTAACTGTGCACTCTCTCATGACCCTTCAGCTCATGTCGACTGGTATAAGGATGGCATAAAACTCACTTCTGGGGACAATATGGAAATTAAGTCAGATGGTCTGTCAAGGACCCTACTCATCCCATCGGCTCAAAGCATACATGCTGGTATCTATGAGTGTTCAACATCAGATGACAGTATTGCCTTTAAAGTGGACATAAAAGGTGAATACTTGTCTTTCTTTTTGTTTTTGGTAATGGTAAAGATTTCTCTTTGTGTGCAGTGTTGCTTGCTTCTAATTCTAGTGAAAACGAGCTGGCAGGAAAGTGTGTTTTGTCAAGTGTTTAAGAATTCATCACTTATTTATACCTTTGTCATTCTCTTCTTGTAGGCCAATCACCAAGGATTTTGGCAAGCCCACTATCAGAAAAATACAAGCTGATTAGAATTGGTTCTCCAATAATCTTGCAGTGTGAGGTTTTAGACCCAGCTGCTCAAGTTTCATGGTTAAAAAATGATGTGGAACTTTTTTCCAAAACAGGCCTTGATATGAAACGAGATGGCACTCTGAGGAAGTTAATAATTCACTCAGCTAAGGTCTCTGATTCTGGCCTCTACAGCTGTAGTCTTGTTGATGAGGCTGTGACCTTCCATGTGAACATTGAAGGTGATTTTCTTGAATTACTACGATTAATATTGGTCAATCAAATCTTTACAACATTTATAATCGGGCACTTCAATCCGGGGACTAATATAGTTTGAAGAAAAATAAAAATGTGCGAGTTTAACATATCTTGTAATATCCACAGCTACTCCTGTGAAGGTTTCAAAGCTACCAAAGGTTGCAAGAAACACATTAGTAGGAACAAGCTGCCCAGTTAAGCTACAGTGTGAAGTCTCAGAGCCAGCTGCTCAAGTTTACTGGCATATAGACGGAGAACAACTTTTGGCAACAAGTGAATATGAAATCCAAACGAGTGAAAAACTGGCAGCGCTGATAACTCAGTCAGCAGAAGTCAGTCACTCTGGGTTTTACAGCTGTGAGGCTCCAGATAACCACATAAATTTCAAGGTGGATGTTGCAGGTGATCTAAGTATTTTGAGCTCTGTGAAAATAACTAACTTCAATCCCTTCCTGACCATTAAGTCTAATTAAATCACAGCACTTTATAACAAGCACTAATTGTTAATAATCCATGTGAAGACAATGGTTTAGATACAATATGATCATGACCAAAATGTTAAAAGATTCTGTAGTCGATTTCTCAAAATAATGACTTCGCCAAAATAAAAAGAATGCTTATATGTTATTTCAGGCAGCCATATAACCAAGTAGCCTACCTCATTTAACACTATGCCAAAGAAAAGAAAATTTTCTTTACATAGAGGATTTTTTGTATATTAAATCTCAGCCACAAGAACAATTTAACTTCAATGTATGGATATAGACCAATAAAACATGAATAGTTAAAAAATTTTTTGCAAGATATTTTTTTGCAAGATATTTTTTCAGATTCAGAATCAGAAATACTTTAATAATCCCAGAGGGAAATTACTTACTTTTTGTAGATAAAGATAAAAAATAGTACTGCATAAACTAACTTTTTGTAGATAAAGATAAAAAATAGTACTGCATAAAGTAAATGGTGGGACCAGGAATCACGAAATGTGTTAGAGGCAGTTGTTTAACAGTCAGACAAAACAACAAGTGAAGGTCAGCTTCCACAGACTTTAACATAGTCCTTCATATGCTTTAATTCTGGGAATACTTTGTAAACATAAAAGCTGCTTTCGAGTCATTTTCTTCTTGTATCTATTGTTGTGTTGTTGCCAACATCTAGCTTTTATATTTGCATGCAAAACCAACAGGCTGTACAACGCAACAACATGACTGTGTCTCTATTTTATTCCTGTTATGAAAGGTTTCAGGGGTAGCCCTGGACATGCTAGCAATCTGCCTCCTTTCATTTCCAATGCAAAGGCATTTCAAGGACATAAGGACTATATTCATGTACAGAAACTTGAAAATGCATTAAATTTTCACCCATTGAAAAAGTAATTAATGGTCAGCAGACACCAAACGAATGCCTAGTAGATCAATCAGAGAGTATCAACATCATATAGTGGAGATGATAGGGATAGACTTTGGCTTCACAGGAAGCAGAGTGTGCCAAAACACAGATTATACTTCCATAAATAAGCATGCTGAACTTCTACCTTCTTCAGAATGGCACCTAATCAGGCACTCTAATATTCCCTATCATCAGGTCTGGCTCTACATTAACCATCTTGTCTCCCAAAACTAGGTTCTAGTAATCAGTTAATCATTCGAGTTGAACTTTTATTAGCCTGATCCCTTGCCTAAGACCAATTTGCAATGGCAGACCTTATCAAAAGTCAAAGCAGATGCCACTAAAATCAGTTACATATACCGACTATTTTTCTTAGGTACCACTTCTTTAAAAGGAACTGCTGAGCTGGAGGTGAGGAGACTCAGGAATTCATTAAAAAACTTAAATGCACATTTTGGAGAACTTTGGGAGGGGGTTTCTACTATTAAATTGCATAAATACAATAACTGAGGAAGTTGAAAAGTTTGAGGCTCTGGACATTGTAATGTAATCATGCCTCTAGTGTGGCTTATAGGGCTGAGTCAACCTCTGTAGACAGGTAGATATAGGTGGTGATGGTTTGAGATAAGAGACCAGAAAGTGTGCTCCTACTATTGATTGACCATACGTTACAACCTTTCTCAGAAAGCCTACTCTAAACACTGGTAATCAGAGCTCACTCTCCTGCCTGTTTAAGGGTGGTCATACTCCAACACCACTAATTCAGACAACTGTATTACCTCTTCAGCATTTCATTGACTGTAACAGAAGCTGTAAATTATCCTGCAGCTTTTGCATGCATGCCTTTTTCAACACATCTAAATCAAATTAAAGGTTATTGGCCTCTGCTAAACTAAGTGGCATGCCAAGGAGGCCTTTTGTTTCAGTTGTGTTGGAGGAGGACCAGCTTTGCCAACCTTTGCTCTAGGGTCTTAAAAAGGAACTTAAAATATAAAATTCAAGAGAAGAAAAATAAATATTTTGCTTTCATCCTAGACATGGAATTGTTGACCAGCTCTTACCATTGTATAATTTCAGAGGTAATAATGGGAGTAAGGCTGTCCATTTCACAAGTATTGGATCTTGGGACATTTTTACTTGGAGGAGATTGTCTGGATAGAAACCTTGTGATTGCATCTTTTCTTTTTGCAGATGAAAACATCTCTAATTAAATATGTAGTGCAACCAGATAACATCTCCATGATGATATCTGGTTGCACTATAAACCATAACATTCAGAGTGTTATGGTTGCAGGTAAAGCAGGTGAGGTTGAGTCAGCTCATCAAAAGCCAGGTTTGTACCTCACACATACTCCAGTGCCTAATTCTGAAAGTTAGGGGTTCAAACTTTTAAACCCAAAACATCGCTTAAATAACAGAAAGAAGGGAGTAATGGAACAGAAATACAACAGAAAAAATTAGGGAAAAAAGTATGCTTGTATAAGTTACTCATAAAGTTATGTTGTACATATTATAGTCTGAGTTTGTATCTTTACACAGCTTTATATCTGTTTTTCTCTTATTTTTTCTACTATTATCATTGTAAAACTTCATGAAAGCTGATAAGAAATCATATGCAGCCACTTTTGGTGTGTGTGAAGTTTTTAGTCTTTCCACTGATTATGTAGTGCACTGCCCTCCTTTGTTTTCAGAAATACTGAATCAATGCAGCATTATGTATAAAGATAGGGACACTTCTTCATTATCACACGCCCTCCAATGTACCCCTAAGCTTGGCTATAACTCACCCTTTAGTCTAAGGCATGATTCTAAATTGGAAATGAGGATTGTTTCCTTCAGGTTGGACTTAAAACTCAAGTAGAGGAGTTTACTTATAATGATATCTTCACAAATGGCATTGCTTTGCTGTGAGAGAGGAATAATTGTATTAGGAGGGTCTGGGTCTCTCACCGAAACCAGGATAAAAGTGAAAACATTTGTGTAACACCCTTTAATATATTCATTTTTCTCAACATCACTAGCGCGATATCTGGATTTCCAACATCATACATGACCAACCAGTCTTACTGTAGATAAAACCAAAAATGCAAACCCATCTCAATCCTTGCCATGCCATTATAAGCTTCTATGGGTTCTGTGTTAGCTGATCTTTACTGTTTTTTCTGACTTTCAGTTAGTTAGTCTCAGTTTTAAGTTAGTTCTGACTCAGTTGGGAACTACCAGTTTCTGACATGATCCCACCTCCTATGTCCCTTTGATGCCTTTTAAACACACAACCGCTCGCTGCACTTCTAAAATGTCACATCCAAATTCAACCATTTCTTCAGGAATAGAAAGAGAAAATGGTTCCTTAATAAATACTCATTTTTTTGTTAATAACTATGTTATGAAATGTAAAAAGTAAAAGATAGGGTGAGAGACACAGAGCTTGAGTGGTTCTCTCGAAAATTACAAATCCAAAATACATAAACTGTTAATCCAGTATGAGTTGATCAATGAGATTTATAATGTCTTCCTGTGGTGCAGATTTAACTAATTTCTCCAAAGTGCCAAGGAGAAAAATAATTAATCCATGAATTATAAATCTATTCTGGTCTGGTTTTGTAGTAGATAATTAAATGTATGGGCAGTGGCTAGCACTGCAGCCTTGCAGCAAGAAGGTTGCGGGTTCAATTCCTGACCCGGGATCTTTCTGTTTGGAGTTTGCATGTTCTCCCTGAGCATGCGTGGGTTCTCTCCGGGTACTCCGGCTTCCTCCCACAGTCCAAAAACATGACTTTTAGGTTTATTGGCTTTTCTAAATTCTCCTTAGGTGTGAGTGTGTGTGTGAATGGCTGTTTGTCCTGTTTGTCTCTGTGTTGCCCTGCAATGGACTGGCAACCTGTCCAGGGTGTACCCCGCCTCTTGTCCGTAGACTGCTGGAAATAAACACAAGCACCCTTCGCGACCCCACTCGGGACAAAGCGTGTCAGAAAATGGATGTATGGATAATTAAATGTATATTTCATATCAAGGTGTAGTCGTCAAATAAACGGTATGTCTCCTTTTAGAGACATTAGAATTTGCATCTAAATATTAAAAAGTGACCCATTACACTTTTTAATATTTAGATGCAAATTCTAATGTTTCTAAAAGGAGACATATCTACCGTTTATTTGCTAATATAGGTTGCAAAATTGGGATTTAACAATTATCCATCCCTTGAGAGCAGATAAGGGCTCCATTTTTTGTTCTTAATATTTAAAGATCCTTCACGGTTTTTAAGATATTAATTTTTTTTTAACTATTAAGACTTTATCCCAGACAAACAAACTTGTAATTGCATGATATATCTACTCTGTCTGCCTGGTAAACAGCTACTAACACATTTGAGCACTGAAAAGGTTCTCACATGGGACTAGCACAGTACTGAAATACTACTTTCAGCCTTCCTATATCCCTTGTTGTTTTCTGTATCCTGGTGTGTATCCATTAAGCAAATAAACCCTGGTATATAAATTCATTTCTTAGCCAACACGTCACCACCAATCTGAATGCTAATGGTTTTCCCTGAATGAAATAAAAGTCCTTTAGTATGGGTTTGATTCTCAGCTGTTCCAGAGGCTGAGAAGGGCAGTTCTGTTGAGGCAGACAACCTGATCAAAGTGCGTTGTGAGATCTCAGACCCTGCAGTCCAGACCCGCTGGTATGAGGATGGGATAGAACTCTTGCCGAAATCGAATGTAGAGTTGGAATCAGAGCCTAATGAAGGAGCTCTGGTCATGGAGGCGGCCCTGTCATCATACTCTGGGGTTTATCATTATAAAGCTGATGATGGTGATAAAGATTTCAAGGTGAAAGGTGATATGCTAAGTTTTTTCTTGGCAAGTTAATTCCCCTCTTCAGTTGTGTCCACCTCCATGGCCTTTAATACATAAGAAAGCAAACCATGATCATCCCCATAAACATAACAGACTTTCTCCTAAATGCCCTCTATGTCATTGAAGCTGCTGAGAAAAGCATCCATGACCTTTAATGTTTTAACCCCTCTGTTTACATCAGTGCACTGCTTTAAAAATCTTTTTAGTTTGCTTTACAGGAAGATTAACACCCACTGATTATCATACTGTTATAAGCTGCTACATAGCAAATTTTGAAATTAGCATGTTCATGTTCGGTCCAAGTTTGGTTTTACAGTGGTTGCATGTTTAAGAAAATCTGTATAACTCCCCTTTGAAGGAAAAACTTACATTTTTTATGTTTTTTTTTACAGCGCCGCCAGTAACATTTGCGGATGTCCCAGAGAAGGACCTTTTTCGTAGTGCTGTGGAACAAGAGCAGCTTGTTCTGTCATGTGAAATATCAAGGACTGATGGTGTTGTCCAGTGGTACAAAGATGGGACTGAAATACAACAAGGCAGTAATATCAGAATGGAAGCAGACGGGGCAAAGAGGAATCTGATTATAAGTTCAGCTCAACTGTCTGACAGCGGCACGTACACATGCCGTACAGGAGATAACATTTTAATATTTAAGGTCACCATCAGAGGTAATAAACCACCTCACATTAAACTGATTCTCAGAGGAAAATCATTGTAACCTCCCTTTATTTTAGGGAAGAACACATTTCTACCGTATATGACTTGTTAATGTTCCTCTCTTCATTAAAAGAGCCTCCTGTGATGATAGTCTACCCCAAGGAAGATGTCCACCTTGACCGTCATGTCCCTGAGGAAATTATTCTGAGCTGTGAACTGTCTCGTCCTAATGGTGTTGTTGGCTGGTTTAAGGATGGCCAGAAGCTTCAAGAGAGTGAGAACATCAAGCTCAAGACAGAAGGCCCTTACCGAAGACTGAGGATTTGTTCAAGTAGAGTTGAAGACTCTGGGGAATATGTCTGTGATACAGCTGATGATTCAATATTCTTTCATCTTAATATTACAGGTAATTCTCTTTAGGGATGTTTTTTTTATTATGCTGTGCTTCGGTGCATTACAAGGGCTTGCAGTGTAACAGGCATAATTGTTTGGTTCAAAAATGTAGGTTCGTAAAAGAAGGACTGAATACACAGAGGGATTTTCAACAATAGCTTCCTGCAGGAGGGGAGAAAGAGCCAAACCCAACACTCTCTCTCCGACCACCCTCCTTGCAATGCCTTATTTATTAACAGAACATAACACATGGTTACAAAAGAGAGTATTGTTCTGACAGGACAGTTGATCAGGTCATAAGACAGGATGCTCTCCTCTTGACTGCATCATAAGACAGAGTGAAGCATCTCCTTGCTTCAATGTTTATAAGCAGACACACATTAATTTTATAATTATTATTGAATAAACCTAACAATCATCTAAAGGGGTTATCTGTCCTTGATGCAGCCTCTTACTCTATAATTTCAGTCAAGAAATGCAGCAAATGTCAAAAAAATACTTTTTCACTTTTCAATGCCATTGTCAACTTTTTCACTAGAAAAACTTACTAAAGAATCAACCTATTAATTTACACGAATTTAAATAGCGGAGAAAGATGATGGCACTTTCCTTAAGATTTTATGTGGGTTTATGCCTCAGGATATTTGGGATGTTTTTCCTCAACATCAAGTCCTGTCATGTCTCAGCTTTTAATGGAGCTTCTTTTGTCAAGTGTAAAGAACAGTGTTCACATGTGTCAAGACCAGGTATTTTAATCTCAGGAATGCCACCCACTTGATTTCATTTATTAATCTTTCATATATATCAAATTGAGGACTATATGTCAATAAAATGTCAAGGATCTATGAGAGCAAAAAAGTAGCCAGGTGATCAATCACTGGCCGATAATATGTAGGGTAGGCTATAACCATTTCACATCCCCAGACCTATCTTTGTTTGATAAAAAATATATACAGTACTTAATAAAAGAAAAGTACAATTAAAGGCACACTATGCAACATTTTTCAGTTAATTAATGTGTTACATAACGTTTTGGATGATTAAATGAGTCATTTCAGGTTGAACAAAGGTATTCTCGGCCGCCCTGGTGGTCTGTGGGGGAAATACTGCACTTGCAATTGCAGGAGCACCGACCCGCACCCACAGGCTCAGAAGTCTCGTGAGAGTCAGTCTTGCTTTACGGCCGAGAACTGCTACACCCCCCAGTTAAAAGCATTCTCGTTGCTAGCACAGTGGCGATTCTTGTGCAGTTATGCTACGTTCACGCAGCAAAAGCAGCAAAATCGTGTCTGCTGCTTCATTTTTGCTGCTTGAACCAGTTAGTTCTGACGCTCTGGCTGTGCGGTGCAAAAGTGTGTCTGACGCGCGTTGGGCGGAGCTTCACTATCCTTTCTCTGCCTTGCAGCTATATTTGCTGTGATCATTTGGAATAAAGTAGTTTTAATATGTGTTTAAATGAGAAAATACACCTGAAAACGTAATCAGTGCCGTCAGTTCATTCAGATTATTATCCTGCCTTCAATATTTTTTCTGTCGGAGCCGCTCAGACCCCCACATACCAGCGGTGCGCCGACAGAAGGAACCCCTTCATCAGCAGCCTCTGGCCAGGTCACGTCCTCGCGGTTCACCGCGGCAGCTGGTAGGTGTTTTTCATCTAAATAATCCAAACTGCATATTCTGCCGGCAGATTTCTGCATTTTAAGTTAATTTAGGCGTCAATAAACTGTTTAAGAGGAGAGATCATAGCCTCTGATCATCAGCGCTGTGTCTCTCTCCCTGCTTCAGCTGCTCAGACGCGCTGGGCCTGCTGCTCCTTTGCTGCGCCTTGACGCGCGTCAACCATTGACTTTGCATGTAAACTCGCTGCTTCTGTCGCGCCAGCTGCGGTGTGAACGCAGCATTAGTCATTCGTTGCGTTAGCCTGTCTGCTAAGTTCAAAACAACCGCGCCTGGCTTGACGGAGAAACCAGGAGAACAGCTGTGCATATTTACGACAGTGCACTTTTACTTTCGCCCTCTGGGGGGAGCCTCGCTGGAAAATCAACACTGGTTGCATAGTGTACCTTTAATATTAATATAAAGGTGTTGTATTAAGTTTAGTGGGTCACATTTTATTATTCCAATATAAAGTCCAGCTTCTGCCTTCTCCCACTGATCCTATGGCCTTTAACAGAATTATGCTGCTTCCAGTCAGAAACATCCATTAGAGTCAGAGTTAAAGTCTTAGCAGTGATTATGATTATGTAGCCTAGACCCTGCTTACATCCTTCCTCTGCACACTGTCTCTCAAGCTCAAGATTGCAGGTGTGTTGCAGCTGGGAGTCAATGTGAAAGATATCCTTAATGTTTCTTCCCAATCAGTAAATGTATCTTAGCTGTTTGTCGGCATCATGAGCATCCCTGACTGCTAGCTTCAGCATGCTGAGGGAGATAAGCTGTGGAATGACAGCTGTAGTGCAGTAGAGAGCAAGGCAGATGCTGTAAGGTGCTTGTTCAAATTTTTAGGCTAAGTTTACAGTTTCTCTAAAATCCCAACTACAGTGTTAAGATAATAATATGAAAAATATGGAAAACTATATAGATGCAGCAAACCATACAGTAATATTTATTTATCTGTGTTCTGCTAATTATTGTGGCTTTACTTCACTATGGTTAAAGTGCTAAATGGATGGAAGCAGTTAATGTAAGTAAACACTTAGAGCTAACTACTTAGATAACTGATACTCAGGGTTTACAATTCCATTTTTTTGCAGCCCAGCCACAAAGTAAAACATGCCTATATGTGATTTAAAATAAGTCCAAATCTCATGCTCTTTGAAACTTTATAACAGTCTAAAGCTATTAGATTCATAATAAGGAAAAGGCCATAAGATGATGGTTTAAAAGAAGGGTGAAGTAAGCTATCGTGTTAAAAGACCAAAAAACATCACTGGGCAGAGGGGGAGGGTTGAGGATTTAGCTTTTAAGCATTCACAACCGAATCATGGAACTAATCCCAAAGAAATGACTTAAAAGTAACTGACCTTGATTCAAAATACCAATCACATAGCCCATGCACCACAAACCACTCCAACAATCCAGAAGAACGAGGGGTGGCTATTTGATTTGCATCTGACTTGGAATGCTCTTAGGCGGATAGATCTCCATGCAGCTAAATACGTCAGCGCTCCAACTACAGATTGCTCTGTACAAGCCAACGAAATTGGCCAAGACTCCAGGATGGGTGTTGAAACGTCTAAAAAAAAGAAAAACTGAGTAAAAGTGCGGCTGTCTTTCAAATAAAGCCTGTTTTGTGGTTAAAATTACACAACACCATTAAAACAATGGAAAAGGTTAAACAGAGAGGATTTCCACAAAGCATGCAAATGTCATAGCAAATGCAAACATGTTACTTTAATACATTTTGAATTTATCCTATAGGACTAGACAGTTATTCTATTGTTCAAACTGTTACTGTCTGTGTCTCTCTTCTACATATAATGAAGATAAATCTAATATTAGCCATGGAACATTTTTAAGCTGATTAGCCGAAAAGAAATAAACCACATTTCATAACAGAACAGCAGAACATGTGATTTTTGTGAAATATTTCAATTTCCAATTCACTGAATGCACTATATATATAAGCCAAGAGACATACATCGCAGGCCTAAGTTCATATTTAATGTTTGCTCCACTAACTACTGCTAGACGATTAGGGAAACTAGTTTAATCATTTGTGGTTTACAAAATATTTCATTTAAAATAGATTGCGGTTATAAAATTCCCTGTTGCTGGTGTATGCTATTGCATTGCATCTCAGTTGTTTTAGGGTCCAGCACTTAACCTCAATTCATACCAAAGAAACCTGACCTCAAAATAGATTTTGTTTCATTTAAACTCCATAAACTTGGTCTATTGGGTGCTTTTATACTGTTATATTTCATTGTTTTACATTTTCATTAGAGATTTTTTTAGTTCTGTAATGTTTGTCTCAGAAACTGGTATATGCTGTTAGACATCTATTTGATAAGTGCAGGAATTTGTCGATCATCATAACTTGACATAAATACAACTCAGATATGTAGGTCAAAAATTAGTCATACTCCCCTTCCTTGGGCCAATCAGCCTCAGTCATTTCAAAGTACCTTGAAGCAGGCAATTAAGATTAAAAATAAGATATGAAAAATATGAATTAAGATCAAGACTTCTGGCCACAAAGCCTCCCCTAACCTCCAATGGTTAGAAAAAATTTCCTCCTCAGGAGATCTGCCCATGGAAGACCTTTAAAATCTCTCTGTCATCTCCACAGTTAATGGTGCCCTTAGGGTCTCTTAAAGGAATAGTACACCCAAAACATGATTAGCCTTCATTTTCTACTCACCCCCATGCTGAACAACACTCTGGAGTACTTTTTTGATATCTCAAATGCATCTGGAGATCTGGGAGGCTTCTTGCTGTCTGCTGACATTCAAATAATGGAGGTCTATGGTGCCCGAGACAGAAAGGTCCATAAAAGTCCACAAAAAACGTGTCAATATTCCTCCATACTGCTCGTCCAATGTATTCCAAGTGTCCTGAGTGGGTAGCGTCCAGAATTTACTCGAAACGAAGTCATTTAGAATGTTTTTAGAGCATAAACAGTAGTGTATAGGATTTCCTGAAAGCGCGCACATGCGCGTTCACGACGCTACGGAAGCCGGCAGACCAAACCAGATGAAAGTGCGCATTCAGCGTCTGCTCTGCCGATAATGCAAGCGTAGAAGAAGAAATGTGCTGTTTACCTGTGCAAAGAAAGAAACAACGAAAGAAAAATGTCTGAGGACTTCAGTGTTGAGGAAGAGCATGAGTTCTTTGCTGAGCTGAATGCGCTGGTTTGGTCTGCCGGCTTCCGTAGCGTTGTGAACGCGCATGTGCGCTACATACATTGTTGGAGTTTTTCCCCTTTTGGGCTTATTCTCCAGCTGTTTGTCAATTTTTGGGATCGGGCTGGGTTTCAGCATCATTGTGCGTTCTGTATCGTGTAGTATATACGGGGTAACAAGTAGGGGTGGAACGGTTCCCAAAATCCACGATTCGGTTTACGGTTTCGTGGTCACGGTTTTCGGTTTGGTTCGGTATATGTTGATTGTTAGCCTGACATGTTGGTCGTGTTGCTGTTAGCATAAACAAAACTTGTTGCACGATGCTTGCACACTGTTGCACTCTTATCCACAACTTTCTTTCCGCCGTCATCGTAGGTCACTCTAAATGCAAAGTGGTCCCGTACAGCAGACCTATAAAGTGCTGCTGGCGCGTCTTCCAACTCCTGTTCTTTCCCACTCGCCATACCCATACAATTCTCCACAGCAATTGATTTTTTTCTGCTACACCCGGCTACGCTGCTTTGCTTCTGCTTCTTGTTTACTACTGGTGGTTGGCTTTGGTCGCAGTACCGCCACCTTCTCGTCTGGAGTGTAAACGCTTCACCTATGAGAAAAAGGAGCAGCGCATGAACCAAACACAACACACGCGAATCGAACCGAGACAGTCGAACCGAACGGTTCAGACGGTTTTCATAAACCGTTCCATCCCTAGTAACAAAGGGGATTAGCCTCTCATGACCACCTCCTGATCAGGGATCGTAAGGAGGAGAAAATATCCAAAAGTCACTAAGCCCTTGTGAGATGTTCCCGAGCAAATCCTGCTCTTAAAGCAGAGCTACAAGGGACTACAAACCAATTAACACAAACTTTGCAAACAGGGGAATAGTTTTTTTTTTTTTGAGTCAAACCATCCCTCGGAGCTGAGTTGGACGTGTGGTTTTTGAATGTGCAGTGAGAGCAATTAGATTCCGTCAGAGCATCTGGCCATACAGTGTAAAAACATACATCGGGAGCTGTGAACTTTTAAATCCTAAATTTCTTCACACATTCTGAGCTATAGCTGAGTACAAAGATTGAAATATACAGCGTATCTCTGCCTTTCGCAACAACCACTTTGGTGGCATTTTTAAAAATTTGTCTGGGGGCGGTATTAGGTTTTTACATGGGGTGAAGACTTAGGATTTTTTTTTTGATATGTGGAAATTAAAATACTGGAAATTTTTGTCAGTTCCAACTTTGCCTTCATTTCGTAAAGAAGCATTAATCTAGGGTTTTTTGTATATTTCCAGAACCTCCGGTGCAAATTATATCCCCAAGTCAGTCCCAAATGGAGCTGTGTCAGCAAACCTCTGAACGGATGGTGCTGAGCTGTGAGATCTCAAGGTCCAACGCTGTGGTGCGGTGGTATAGAGACGGACTCGAGGTGGAGGAAAGTGAGAATCTTATTCTAGAGGTGGATGGTGTCTACAGAAGACTTATTATACCTGAAACCACTGTCAAAGATTCTGCAGAATATGTATGTGACACAGGAGATGAATCTGTGACATTCTTTGTTAACATAGCAGGTAAATAAATAACAAAGGACATTCAATTATTTAAGTATTTCAATGCTTTTATTTTAATTCAATGTATTGTTGTTTATTTTTTTATGAACAGAACCTCCTGTTCGTTTTATACGCCCAAGGAAGATTGCGAGCAGAGTTGAAAAAGTAGTTGGTGAGACTCTGGTTCTTGACTGTGAGGTTTCAAGATCAAACGCTGAAGTAACATGGAAGAAAAACGGGGAAGAAATCGAGGACTCGAGAAAAGTCACAATCCTTGAAGATGGCATCACACGTCAATTGACTATTCATTCTGTAACACAGGAGGATGCTGGCCAATATGTTTGTGATGCAAAAGATGATGTTATGGATTTCAATGTTAAAGTGCAAGGTAGGTAATTTATTGTTTCAAAGGAGCTCAACAGAAAAACAAAACCATTACACTAAGTTCTTTCTAATTCCCATGCACAAAGGGTAGTTTTAATAAACAACCACTAAAAAAAAGTGAAGATAACCTATTTACTTTTTATATCATTGACAGCCAGAGTAATAATATATAAATTTTTCTGCTTCTTTTACAGAATTGCCCGTAAAAATTCTTGGTAAATCTGATGCAAAGACAGAAAAACAGTTTTTAGTTTCAGATGATATTATTCTAGTGTGTGAACTCTCAAAAGCCAATGCATCAGTCTGCTGGTACAAAGATAACCAGCTTATTGATGACACCAAGAAATACTGTTGCGAAGAGCAAGATGTTTTTCGCTCCCTGGTTGTCCTTAATGCAGGACTTCAAGATTCAGGAGAGTATACCTGTGATGCAGGGGATGATAAGATGTCTTTTAACATCACTGTGAAAGGTAATCATACTAACAAATCCACACTGTATTTTTTTTTTTTTTTTTCCATACCTTAGTTAATGCGACTGTGTTCCATCTTTAGAACCTCCAGTGCAGATTATTGGGAACTCAGGAAATCCAGAGCATCATGTGATGGTAGCCGGAGATGATCTTATTCTGGAGTGTGAGGTGTCCAGACCGAATGCAGTGGTTGAGTGGATACGAAATGGGGTGATACTCAAACCTAGCAATCGCATAAAAATCGATAGCTATGATGTTGTGAGGAAGCTTGTCCTCTCTGGACTTCAGCCCTCAGACTCAGGAGAATACATCTGTAATGCAATGGATGACAAGTTAGTCACAATTGTGGAGGTACAAGGTGAGACATGTGGTTGATGACTATGAAAAAAATAGTTATTGATTAAAAACATGGTGTGAATACTGTTCCATTATTGTTGCAAGCAAAGAACATATTTTATTACTGGAATATTGAAATTTGAAGAAAAAAAATGCAATCCATCAATGAACTGTTTCTCTAATTAACTTTTTTTTTCTTTACAATCATTTATATTTTCACTTTTTCAAACTTAAGTTTTTCAATTTGACAGATTTTATGAATTGCATTCTTTTCTAATGCCATTTTAAAGATCACATTCTCTTCACTTCAAGCCAAATACAAACAATGCTGACCTACTGTATAGAAATGTGTCTTTGTTCCTCACTCCTGAGAAAAGCTTGTTCTAGGAATAAAAGGAAATTGATCTGTAGAACACAACTTAAAAAGAATGAACTTCTGAGAATCTTCTATTTTTTTCCCTCAGACCTTCCAGCCAAGTTTATTAATAAAAAAGCAAAAAATAATATCTCCGCCTATGAAAATGAGAGTGTCACACTGTGTGCCATTGTGAGCGATGAAAGAGCTAATGTCCGTTGGCTGAAAGATGGCCAGCTGTTGAATGAGGACAACATTCACATCTCCAGTGAGGGTAAAACTCATAAACTCACCATTAATCCTCTGCAGCTGTCGGATTCTGGAGAATATGTCTGTGACATAAGCACAGATGAAATGTATTTCAGTCTTTTAGTCAAAGGTAAGACTGGTTTGAAGTGACATAATAAACAAATTGCTTCTTGGAACTGTAAACATTATATAATATTGTTATTCTTTATGTCTAGAAATGAAGGTGAAATTTATTAAACGGCTAGAGGATGTGGTGTCTCTGAGAGGTAAAAATCTTACATTACAATGTGAGGTCAACAAGCCCAAAGGTGATGTCCAGTGGCTTAAAGGTGGTAAAGAAGTAGCTCCCAGTCAACGATACACAATACGAGCACAAGGCAGAGAGCGAAGCTTGACCATTCACCACCTAATGGATGAAGATGCTGGAGAATATGTCTGTGAATCTACAGACGATCGAACAGTTGCCACTGTCAAAATCGAAAGTAAGTAAGCTTGTGTTTTGTTTTCCAACCAAGTTAGAGTAAATCTAACCCTAAAGTAAAGTTAATTCTGACAGAGTTTGATGGTTTTCAGCCCCCCGTGTTGTCGAGTTCATAGCTGAGCTTCGTAACATCACCGTCTGTGAAGGGGAAGATGCAATCCTTAAGTGTGTGGTTTCACCAGCTGACACTAAGTTGGTTTGGCGCTTGAATGGCAAGGAGATGGCTGGAAATGAGCGTACAGTCATATCCTGCAATGGGCTGTGCCACATGCTATGCATCAGCAACTGCATGGTTTCAGATAGTGGCAGGGTGACAGCTGATGCAGAGGGGTTGGTGTCAGAAGCAGAGCTACAGGTCCAAGGTAGGTTTTTTTCACATCTAAAAAATAAGACATCCATCCTAGTGTTTCTTCACAAACCTTCTGCTGTTTCTTGTCAATTAACTGATCTGGCCCCTGGTGATAGTGGCATATTCTTAAAAACTAGAAAGTATAGGAATAAAAAGGCACTTTTAAGGTGAAAAAATAAAATCTATCTCAGCAGTTTTACAGTATGTAAAGGTTATATTATTGAGAAAAAAAATCTAGTATGGGTCTGAAACAATTCTTTGCTGTAAATATGCTCAAGATAAATTATCTTTTTACTATGTTGTGCAAGTTTACCAGAAGATTTTTAATATATTAAATATCTAGAACTAGAAGTTTTAGTTAATAAATAGGTCATTCAAATCAAGAGTAAAACTAATTGTTGATTATTAGTTATTAGTTGATTATTAGTTTATTTAATATAATGTAATATAATTTAATTATTAACATAAATGCTTAGCTTTTTACATAAATGGATGGACTCCTGGAATTCAATAATTTAGACTATTGCTATCAGCAGAGTAATTAATCACCAACCAAAGAAATCAGACTTTGTTTATTCAGATGTTACTGAAAGAAGGGTTAATCCAGCATTAGTGATAAACTGCTCACTTCATAAAACAAACACAAAATAGCAGGGGTTAAAATACAATGGTGCCTTCATTAGCTAATGATCCCTATCACAGTATTATTATATCTAATAACTTTGCAGGCACTAAACACCACTGGAAATAAGCACAAAGGAATTCTAAAAAGAGGAAAAAGGGGTTTAAAAGTCCATCCAGAAGTCTATGAGGAATGATCCACTTTTAAGGCATTTAAAATAGCAGCAGATAAATGTGAATAAACCTTGATGCAGAGATGTCAAATGCATTCAAAACAGTTCAGTTTCATTTTTTTACAGTGAAAATTGAAGAGTGATTCAGGAATGCAATAAACTGTAATGAAGCTGAAAGAGAAATGGATTACATGAGATGAGGTAGCTGGGAGCTAACTATGATAGCCAGTACACTGCAACAATCTCTCCTAACAGGATAGTAACACCAAATTGTTTGTTCAGTCTTCTCAGTAATCATTAGCATTATTCGCTTTAGAAACTCTTAAAACCATCAGTAGCTGAATCAGAAAGCTTCTTTCAGATAAAACACAAACACATGCACAATTATCTACTCCACCTAGTTCACCCAAGCAGCGCACTTATCAAGTATCAGATGGAAAGAGGGAAGGATGGATGATACTATTTTGGCTCGGTTGAATGGAAGGGACTTCGATCTAGTTTGTTTGTCCAACAGCAGCCCTCAAAGTTATTTGGATTAACCCGATGCAAAAAGGAGACAACTTTGCTGGGCTTAATTTCATACCTTACAGTAGCCTGAAATGGACTGTCTCACTTTTGCTGGTCGAGTTAGCTGATAGTGACAAATCAGGCAGGCGGCACAGCTTCAGTATGAGTGTGTATAAGGAAGAGGTTTTTATTTTTATTTTGAGTCCCTGGAGACTTATTTTGAAAGTCTCTCATGGATGTGCATCAAAAGATGAGTCATGCCCAACAGTGATATAGAATCCATTTCCAAATGTTAAATCACTGGTTTTCCATGTTATTAGGCGAATAGATGCTGCATTACAGTGTAAATGGGAGACTTTTAAGCTTGGATTAGTTAACTGTGCCTGGCTTGGCTCTTACAGCCATTTACACATCATGCTAGTACGGTTCCCCACCTCCTATCGGTCGTCCATGATACTCAAGGCGGAAATTATGCAAAATAAAATGGCAGCGCCCATAAAATTCAGGATCTTATGTGTCTGAATAGCATCTTCTGCACAAATTTGAATGAGTCTCGGTCCCGACATCATCCCAGGTTGCACCATGCCCTTTTGATGCCATTTGTTATTAATAGGCTGAGAAGTTGGTGTTGTGAACAGGTGATCCAGGTGAAGAGATCTGTGAATTGCAAAGCCAGACACGCCTGAAAACCAGCGAAAGGAGTCAGCTGACAGTAAATAGGAGATCACGAGTTCTTAATATTAATTTCTGTTCCCAATTTATCAAATTTAAATGTGATTAGGGGAGTTACTCAGATGACCTCCAGTTTTATAAATACAGGTTTGTAATATGATTAGATTATATATTTATTTAGATTCCTTAATAACTTCAAGGCAACATATTTATGTTGTTTTTTATTTGAGAGTAAAGTAATTAAATGCGTAATAATTAAATGCAGAAGTTAAAAGATTATGGAACATTTTTATTTTATAACCAGTTATTGTATGTTTCACTTTTGGAAAATCATCAATACTTTTGACTGAGAGGGGAACTTATTGTAAGAAAAATTGCGCAAAGGGGTTCATAAGCCAAAAAAAGGTTGGGATCCACTGCCTTAGATAGCAGCCAAATAAACAGTTTTTCATATTTAAGAACAAACTGGACTTACAAATATTATATGAGCGTTTATTTTTATGTATTGCTGGTTCTTGTGAAAATTATTAATATTTCATCTTTAAGGATGATATATAAATAAAGTTTTACTTTCCTATTTACTTATACGTTTCTGTATATAAACTGGATATGTGTGTATCATATAGTGCATTAAGACAACTTTTTTTGAGAATGGGCCTTATATAAATGACCCAGATTAAACCTTAAAAAGTTACAGCACAGCTTGCTAAATAAGACATTATAATATAAAACATCTGTACAATTATTTGCCATGCAACTATACACTCTACAAAACGATAATGGCAGCTATCCTTTAATCCCTGTCTTTGTGAAGAGCAACAGGCGCTGTTTACGAAGAAAATGACGGCAGTAGTAGCTGAAGAGTACGGTGAGGCAATTCTCGAGGTGGAGGTGAGTCTAGATACAGCAGACGTGCAGTGGATGAGACAAGGGGTCCTGATCCATCCCGGGGCCAAGTACACCCTGAAACAAAATGGCCTAAATCACACCCTTACTATTCATAAAGTGACTCTGTCTGACCGAGGCACCTACAGCTGCGAAACTCTTCATGACCGCACACAAGCCCAGCTCACCGTGGAGCGTGAGTGTCCACTCGTTCTCACTATGTCCTGTTGTTGTTTGTTTACCTTTGTTACTGACAACTGCACGTTGGTTACACCTATAGTCCCTGCTTCCTGTGAGGGCAAATCTCAATTAATTGCGTAGATGCAGTTTAAGTTTACTGGGGACAGGGGCACTATGCCCTGGGAAATGATGGTAACCAACAGGTGATATCCTAACAAAGCCAAGACACAGAGCAGGGTAGCCATGTAATCAAACTCCAAAGAGAACACATTGCATATAATGTCTATTAGCACATAGATTTAAAGATTAATCTGTAAATAAATAAAGAATTAAGATTTATTTTCTTCTTTCAAGAGTTTCAAGAGAAGTAAAACGTCTTTGTTTTGCACTTAACACTCAATCAAACATCTTCTAGTAATTACAAGGGTTTCATTTTGCTTATGTTTCTTAGCCCTGTGATTTGCAGGCAAGGGGATGAATTAAAGGCTGCTCTTTCAACACTTGTGCAGGTGGGAAGGAGAAAGTTAGGACTTCAGGCCACTGTTGGCACATCCTATGAATTTCGATCTTCCCTCACTGCATCTAAATTTACACCCTGGCCTTCAAATCTAGGGTTGTTGTCATCAGGTCTCCAAAATTAACACTCCTTTTTTTTCCACTGGGAATTTTTGCCTGTGATACAATAAATGAAAAACTTGGCAAATTCAAAGATGGATTGTGTACAAAGCTCTATGGATCAAATGGCTAAACTCAGTCTGGTGTTGGATGCCAGGCCCATTCTGTAAAAAAATAAACCACAGAGCTTCATGCATTCAGAATGTTCTGGTTGATCAGGAAGACCTATATCCATGGTCCATTCGTCCTTCTTTTCTGTGTTCTGGTGTCTTACAGCAAGAAAAGTCACAATCAAGAGGGGGCTAACTGATATTAAAACAACAGAGAGAGAAACAGCATCCTTTGAAGTGGAGCTCTCTCATTCCAATGTCCCAGGAACCTGGATCAGAAATGGAATCCAGCTTAAGCCGACGAATCACTTCCGTATGAGCGCCAAAGGAGAAGTTCACAGCCTGACCATCTCCAACCTTTCACTGGAAGACACGGGGACCTTTGTGTTCTCTGTAGAGAATCTGAAAACCTCTGCGAGGCTTGTTGTGAAGGGTAGGCAACTTAGAGACAGACAGAGTAATGTGATATTGAGATAAATAGTACATCACTTAGATCAGTGGTTCCTAACGATGGTCCTAAAGTACCTCCACCCTGCAAGTATTAGATATATCTCTCTTACAGCACAACTGATTCAAATAAGGGCTCCTCATCTTCAATCAAATGCGACAGGAATCTGTCAATCATGCATTCTTTTCTGGTGCGAGGCAACAAGGAAACACCTAAAACATTCTGGTTGGGAACCATTGACTTAGATCGTAAAAGAGAAGGGACATCTACATTTGTTGTTATAGCAAAGAAATGTACAATAGCTAACATAAAATTACTACAGTAATAAGTAAAAGTAATAGTCTTATTCAGACTTGACTGGGAAGTAGTGAAACCACAGTTTTTCTTGACAGGTTAGAACGCATAAAGGACCTCTGTAGATGCATCAAAACGTTTAAAGCCTAGAGGCCATGACATTGGTTGGCCGATGACATCATAGCGCGGCGCCATGGCCTGTTCGGATTTAAAGCAAGTTTTTTTGCCATGTCGGAAGGAAAGGTCCACTGCATCCTTCCTATACTTCATAGCTCAGGGTATCCAGTGATAAATTGCGAGTCCAAACAAGCCGGCTGCTTCTTGCTCAGAGGAAAAAGAGAAATGGAGACGAACAGTGGGGAATATTGTAAATGCAGTTTAATATAATACCCTCCTGTTGTCTTAAATTAAGGAAAATCATTATTTAAAATGGTTAGTGAGTCTGATGTGTGGAGGGTAATGTTTGGTTTATTGAAAGGTTTTATCTGCAAATACGTTTGGCTGACATTAAAGAACAAATTCAAATATCAGTGCAGTGTGGGGACTACAATCTGATATCTGCAATGACATTACTGCTGCTGAAGCTGCTCAGAATCCAAACTAGCAAACAGAGCAGTAGTGAAAAGTTCAGCATCCATTTTCGCCTGCTTTGTGCATAAACTGTCACAGTTGCTAGGCGACAGAGCTTATGCTGATTGAGGGGCCATGACAGCTGAAGAAGGCTCGACCTATTTGAATCTATAGCTGAACTCTCCCAGCCTGCTTATATTCACGGCATCCCAAAGATCCAGTCCTTGTAGATTGGGTTCTTTGCAGGACGCAGCCGCAAAAATCGAACACAGCCCATGATGCTTGTCAGTTCCCAGATAGATGAAATGTGAAGTTTGTTAGCTATTTTAATTGTAATGGCTCCAAGTTTAACTTCTCCCGGCCAATACGTTGCACATTTACGCTCACAGGCTCTCATTTTGTACTGTTTTCCAGCCAGGTTCTATGTCCACTAAAGCTAATGGTAATGCTAACCAAAGGCTTCTTCCTTAACTTGGCAGAAATGCTCAAACTCTCTACCACTGTTCACCCTCAGTTTGCTTCTTTTATTTATTAATTTTTTTTATGTTGGCATAATAACCTCAAGTAGAAATCCATCCATCCATCCATCCATCCATCTAGATCCGTTTAGAGAAGCCAATTAACCTAACAGTCATGTTTTTGGACTGTGGGAGGAAGCCAGAGTACCCAGAGAGAACACACACATGCTCAGGGAGAACATGCAAATTCCATGCATAAATACCCCGGGCTGGGAACCAAACCCAGAACCTTCTTGATGCAAGGCAGCACTGCTACCTACTATGCCAAGAGCAGCCCTCAAGTACAAATCATATATTTTAGACATTTATAAATTTATCACTCATATATTGTTTTATCTTTAGTAAATTTAACGCTGTTATTTTGCACCACTCTACACAGTTTGTGTAGAGTGGTGCAAAAATAAGCGTAACAGATACTTTTTTTAATTAAATGTTTGACAGAAAAAGTTCTCAATGTAACCACTGGTCTTCCCTGGTCAAAATGTGCAAATTGTTGGCTTTAAAACAGATGCATCCTTCATCTGTCCCTATCCTTCCTTCCTCCCATATTCCATCTGCTTATTTAGATGCTGTGTAGTTTCTTAGATTTTGAGTCCCAGTGTTCCTCACTGCAATGCACTGCATATACCACACTGCTAAGCTTTTGTTTTAGGTTTGAACTGCTGTTGTTCTCCAGGTGTCTGGGGGATTTAAGCTATGAAGTTAATGAAAACATCTTTTGCATATTTTTTTATTAAGACTAATTAAGTAACCATCAACCAGGAACCCCCAACATAAATTCCTCCTTTACTCTTTAGGGGCTAAACCATTGCTAGTACATCCTTAACATTGCTTGTCTCTGTTTCTATTGACTAATAACACACCTTAGAGAATAAACTGGTTAGATCTAAGCTTTACTTTAAACAGTGTCTACAGACCTCTCCGATAGGAACAAGGGGTTGGCTCATGGACGGCAGAAAAAAAATCAAAGAAGTTTACCTATTGATGAAAAAAGAGTTGCTTTATTATTAACAATGGAATAGAATAGAAATATCCCTTATTGCCCTGAAGCTGGAAAATTCAGGTGTGTCATTAGTGAATCAAACAGGTTCCCAGACCCCTTAAAAAACTGTAGAAGAGTCACAACACTAAAGACAATTAAAATTATGTGTGGTATAGAAAGTAAATACCAATTTTGCCAGGATAGTCAGGGGTCTAGAGAACAACAAAATGCACATTTCTGGCCATGCTTGAGGAAAAGAACAACTGACTATTCACAAAACCCAGCACAAGTGTTCATTGTTTCCTCCACTATTTGTTTTCATATTTCCTTCCCCTTTAATATAAGAGTCGGTGCTGTGCAAATAGCTGCAGTTACTAAAGCTGAACCTATGAAGCCAGCATGAAGCCCAGGTGGTAAGACACAGTCTGGTAACATACTCAAATATGTGTTCCATGAACTTCAATTCTGCAGAAAGGCAGAATATTCATAAGAATGGGTAAATGCAAAACATTTTTTAGATTGTTTTTCATTTGTTTTGTTTTTTGGGTTAAGAAATGTGTCCAGGTCTTGGCTCCAACTTGTCCCACATGGCAAGAATTTTCACAGAATGATAACCTGATAACCAACCTAATTTAAAGTCACAAAGCAACCTCTGTACAACTCCATCATCAGCTGGTAATGCCGTCTGAAGAGGCCTCCTCTGTGTCTGCTGACCTTTACTAATGGATTCAACTGAATATAGGATGCTATAATTCTATATTCTATCCTATTCTACCCTATGATTCCACTGGGCATGCAACCATTTATGCCAACTGTGCTTTCTCAGACATATCAGCAATTTAGGTTATTCACAAGTCCATCACTATTGATTATGTCCAAATCTGCCTTTATGCAAAGTAGGCAGTGACCCCAGACTGACAGCTGAAGTTGTCCACTCAATTGTGGCCAAATGGCAACCATAGCATGCATGATAATAGAATGGAGTGACAGCTCTTCTAACCCTGCCTTTATCCAGGCTCACGTTACAAACACAAAGAAAATAGCTTTGAACGATTCATTAAAAAGCTTTGGCTCTACTCCATCTTTCACTCGGGTACCGCTTTAACCTCAACTCACAGAATAATTCTCCCCATGCCTCTGTCAATCAGTGTCTATTATCCCTGTGAGCATTTCATGAAATTTAAAGGATGACATTTGGTCCATATATACTACATAGATAAGTTGATATAGATAGCAGGTTTTTGTTGTTTAAATAAGCAATCTTTTTCTTTATCAGAGCCCCCAGTGACTATCTTTAGGAAGCTGGAGAACCAGAGAGTCCCTGATGGATCTGTTATCTCTTTCGAATGTGAGCTGTCAAGACACAACGTTGATGTCAAATGGATGAAGGTAGTGCTTTGTTTACTTCTTTTTGTAGTCACTCATACTGATTTTAATTATGATTTTAATAAAAAAGATAGCTTATGAGAAAAACGTTTACAAAACGCACTCAAAGAAAATATTTAGTTGTAGATTTGTTAGAATAAAGACTCCATTAAAAGATGAAAAAGTCTAGATTTTTTGGGACATTCATTTTGATATTAGATGTCATTTGAATTAAAAGGACAGTTCATTTCTGCTCTTTTTAAGCAGAAATTTTAACTTTTTAATTTTGAAATGTTCTTGTCAGGATGGGGTAGAAATCAAGCCAAGCAAAGATGTACGAATTTATGCAATGGGAAGGAAACGCTTTCTTCAGATAATGAAGTGTAATACCTGTGACTCTGGCATGTACACGTGTGACGCTGGCGATGCTTCTACGTCATGCAGAGTGGAGATCTACGGTAAGCTATCACCTCATTTGTTAATACATCACTATTAAGCGGTATTTTCTGAGGAAAGCAAAAATGTCAACAATGAAACAATCCCGTATGGAATATTTTAAAGCAGCTGTATTAGCTAAATGTTAACATTGCATAAATCAGATGAATGGTAAATGAAATGTACTTATCTAGTGCTTTAATAAGCCAAAGAACTCCAAATTACTTTACACCACGTTCAGTCACTTACATAAGTGAGTCTGCCATAAAATCTGCACGACAGGCCCTCTGGCCACCGCCAGCAGACATTGTGGGCGTGTCTTGCCAAGATCATAACAATAGAAGTGTGCAAACCAGTGACCCACAGGCTACAGGATGAATCACTATTGTGAACCACTAGTGAATCATTTTAGATGTGATTTAAACAACAGGGAATGTGTTACTTTCAGTCTAATAGTACTTGCCTCCACTGAAGACAAAACTCATATCAACCATGTATGTATTCCAGTACCTCTGTTTGTACCTCATTTTAACCCTGTAAATTAATCTTATGATATTTTTTTAGTAAATATTGTAATTGCAATATAAGAACCAATCATGATACGTTCTTTTTAGATCTCTTTCTTTTAACACCTTTTGTGACAGCTGGAATGAAGAGCACTATAATCTGTACTGTGATGACACCACATCCAACAGACTAAAAATGATCTTGGCATTTGAAGTGTGAATTTGTGACACTTTGAATAGATTAGCTAACAGATATGGCTAACAGTTCTTTATGATACTGATATTACAGACAATGGTATTTTGATGCCAATGTAATGCATAGTTCGATCGCTACTCCACCAAATGAAAATAGAAGCTGGAAACATTCAGGTTCAGTGTTGGGATGGGTGGGGATACAATGACCCATCCTGTCCTCTGGGGATTTTATGCATTGACTGTGTGATTTCTGTATGTAACAAGTTACATCTAACTAAATGCCCTTCTTGAAATTTAACAGCATTAACTTCTTTGCAATGATCAATGCTGAATATGCAACAAACTGTTAGTTTGATTACTTGACTAACACAATGAGCAAAGCCAACACTGGAAAAAATCAAAATCTAAAAAAGTTATTTTTTTCTTAAAATAAGTGCATTTTTTCTTAGATTGAGGAGGTAAAAGAGACATTTTGCCAATAGACCAAGACAATTTACTCTTAAAATAAGAAAACACAATTGCATTGTCTTATTTTAAGTGCATATTATCTAATTATCTTTTTTTAAGAGTAAAACTACTCGTTCCATTGGCAAACTATCTCATTTACCTACTCTAATTAAGGGTAAATACACTTAATTTATAGATCATTTTTCCAGTGAACTGGTTCTTGACAATCCTTTGGGATCTTTTTACCTGAATAAGAAAATGCTTTATAGCTACGGTAAACATTGAAATGACATTTTGTTTGGAAGAATCTCTTTCAGTAGCTACAATGTCATTTAAAGTGTAGTTAAAACATGATGTTTAATACATAGTCTTATTAGTTTAGATTGGGTGAATATGCATAATGACATAATTTTAAGTTTGATATTGATTGTGATTTTTGCTAATTGGTGAAAAAGATGCAAGATCATTTAAAAAATTTTCTTCTTATTACTCCCTGTAATTTAACAGTGGATTTTTACATTGTAATAAAGGGATTTATGAATGAATAGTGTGTAGCACAGCACTGCCATCTATTGACATTTATCTGGTACTACACTCTGGACTGAGTAGCATTGGCACCTGGTATCTTTTCACACCTAGAAATCTTTCACCACGAATAAGGTAACAGTAAGAAAACTTCAACAAGTAGTTATTGGTACTGATATTTGTTTTATTTGCTTTTTTTTCTGTGAATTGTATCTGTAGAGCGTGAGCTACTGGTTCTGCAGGACCTTGAAGATCTGGACATCCAGGAAGATCAGAATGCTGTGTTTGTGTGTGAGATCTCTGTAGAAGATGTTCCAGGGGAATGGTATAAAAATGGGGAGCTGATACAACCTACCAGCACCATCAAGATCCGCCAGGAAGGTAAACATGAAAATATATAGTAGGTTTGATTTTTTTAAACTATAATATTACATATATATTATATATATACAATTTTCTTTTTTTATTATTACTGTTTTCAGGAACAAAACACTTTCTTCTTATGTGTAATGTGCGACCAGAAGACTCTGGGGAGATCAAGTTTGTTGCCAGAAGCGTTGAATCTGTTGCTTACCTGGAAGTGGAAGGTAACCAAAGAAGCAAATAGAGACAACTTGTGAAATAAATGTTTGATATTTTAATTTATATTAGAACTCTTTAATTATATCTTAATTACCGTTATTAATTACCCCTTCCGATGGCTATTATATATTCAAAGTGATTCCATCATTTTTATTTACAAAATATAAAAAGCCAGATTTCCTCTTAAATGACTTTATTATTAAAGGAGCCAATCTTTGAGATCCATACTGTTGTTCCTTTGTGACAGTTTTTCATGCTGTTTATACAATGATAAAAAGTTGCTTTCTTTTATGAAATGGTTAACAAACACTACAGTGTCATGAAGCGGTGTTGGGTTGAGGACCCAAAAGCAGAGACAAGTTGGCAGAGGTGAATTTTGGTGGGTTTATTGAAGTTTACAGATCCGGAGGCAGGAATCCAAGATCCAACAAAATAACACTAACCAGAACCAAGGAGACATCAGGGGAAACCAAACTCTAGGAGCCAGGGAAAGACGAGGTAAACAGACAGACGTTTTGACGAGGATCCAGCAAACAGGAACTGAAGAGGGAGGGCTTTTAAAGGGGACAGAGACAAAGAGAGGGCTAACGAGGGGATTGAAAACAGGTGAGGGCAGAACAGAAAACAGAGCAAGGGAAAGAGGACACAAGAAGGCAGCAGAGGACAACAAATGGAAAACCAAGAAGACTGAATACTAAAAAGAAAATCATAACAGAAGCAGAAACCTGACATACAGTGAAGCAAATTTAAGGATGGAGGTTCAGACATTCACTTCAAGATTTAGTAAGTGCTGAACACAGTGGGATCATTAGAGACATTACAACTTTATTCTTTTTAGTTAGACAATGTCTCCCAACCCATGTAGAAGGCTGTTGCGGAACTGCAAATCTTCAGTGGCACATTGCTGCACCCTAAATTTACAAAGCTTAAAACAGCTGATATTTGCACGGTTAATTTTTTAGTCCGTTTATAACACTGACATGCTGCTTTCATTTTGCACATCTCAGTGTTGCAGTATAGTAACTGCACAGTATTTCTATTCAATGCTGTTCAGAGTTAGGGTTGGGTTTTCGTTGTGTCCTTGGGCAAAACACTTCACCTGTATTGTCTACTGAGGGTGGCCAGAGGGCCCGGTGGTGCTAGTGACTGTGTGCGTGAATAGTGTATAAGTATAATAGTGTAAAGTGCTTTAATGACAGAAAAGAAATCCCATCTGGGCTACATAATTATAGGTATAACTGATTAATAAATCCAGCCAAATGCCTTAAATTTCAACGCCCTGTGGTTCAAACAGATGAGGTTTAAAGTTACTTATGGCTGTTTTGGCTAAACAGAGTTAGCGTCACAGGACCTAGTATATGTCATTTTCCCAGAATGCATTGCCTTCTTTAACATCACAGAGATATCTGTGTGATAATATTGTATTGGAATCTATTTAAACGAAATAGCTTGCAGTATTTTTCCTGTTTTGTGTTGATATAGTCAATAAATATTTCTTAAATAAAGTCTATGGTTAGAACTAACCATGTATCTCTTAACAGGCCATAAATCTGCTGAGAGCAAAATATGTATTCCCATTTTAAGTGTCAGTTTCTTTAGTAGGTTCTAAATGTATTCATAGATTGAGAGACTTGGGTTTCATGTTCTGGTGAGCAGAGGAAATGGAATGCAGGGACATAGCGAAACTAAAGCTGATAATTCATTGACATTTCATATATTGTTTCATGCTGCTCCACAGTTTATTTAGCAATTACATGTCAAACTGCAGCGAAATATAGAACCAGTTTAACTTTCATAAAAGGTTTCAAATCTGAAACCAGACTTGGTGGTTGTTTCTGGGTTTTTAGTCAAAATAAACAAGAATTATTCTCTAAGATAGCAACGCAAAACAAATATACTATAATTTATAACTATAATATACAATTATACTTAGGCTAGCTGACTAAAAGTGGACGTTTTTATAATTGTAGCTATCCTTTTAGCGATATTTGCATTACTTTGCTAAAACAAAAGTTTGAAGTACTACCCTCCTGAATCTACAACTATGAAAAGACTCAAAGGTTATTTCCCTTTTTTAGGGTAAAGAAAAAAGATAACATTTCATTGCTAAAAGATTGCTTTGTGAATTGGTAGCTTGGCTATAGAATACTAAAACTATTCTGGTAGCTATAATGTTCATCTTGTAATATTATCATCACAGTGTGATGTTTGATTTGCTCTAAGGTTCAATGTATTTGATTAATTCAATTCAATTCAGGTTATTTATATAGTGCAATGTCCTCTTAATGCACTTTACAGTTCAACCAGATCATACACTCATTTTAATTCAAAATTTTCTGGTTAAGGAAAACCAGTTGATTGCATCGCCTCAGTGACTCGAAGGTAATCCCTCACAGCGTGCTTGTAGCGACAGTGGAGAGGAAAAACTACCTTTTATTAGGAAGAATAACCACAGAACCACACTCATCTGCCGAGGCCGAATGGGATTAGAAGACAAAAATACTAACTCTAAATTAGGACTAAATTAGAAAAGCAAAAGACAAAAACAAAAATACCAGAAAAATCAGGCAATTAGAAGTCAATAGCTACTTTTTCTTTTCCCCTTTCAGAGCTTCCGGTCAACATTGTAAAACCCCTGCAAGATACGACTGCCCTTGAGAAGAGCCGTGTCATCCTCGACTGCACGGTGTCGAACCCAAGATGTAGCATCCGCTGGTACAAAGGCAGCAATGTTATCCTGCCCTCTGAACGCTTTGAGATCTCCAGCGAAGGCTGCTACCGCAAACTGATCATCCAGCAGGTGGCCTTGGACGATGAAGGCACATATAGTGTGCAGGTTGGAGAATATACATGCTCTGCCAAACTGACTGTGGAAGGTAAACGCATTAACTGCACTTCTTTTTTTTTTTGATACAGTTGTTTTGTTTCGTACAGTGAAATGTTTGTTTTTGGTTTTATGTGAAATGGTATATATTGGTAATTGTTTAATTCATATTTTTTATCGTTTAAAATTTATAAACACTTTTAATAGAGGTCTCATTTATGGAAACCCAGTTAATGTTTTCCTTCTGCTTCTCTGGACTCGCCAAGCCCAGTCTTTGTTGATGGTCCGGGAGCTGAGAGATGTGGAGGTCCCGGCCAACGAGGAGGCCTGCTTTGAGTGCGAGGTCTCATCCCCTGTCCTTAGATCCCCGGTTTGGAGTCTGAATGGGGAGCCCCTGCAGCCAAGCTCTCGGATACGCCTGGAGAAGATGGGAACGGTGCACAGGCTGACCCTCCGCCAAACCACCCCTGACATGAGCGGTGTGGTGGAGTTTGTATCCGGGAAAGCAAAAAGTCAAGCTCAGCTTCGGGTAGTGGGTAAGTAAAGATATATTATATTATGTTCTACTAAGCAAATCTGCTCTACTGTATATTACAGGTCTTCAGCCATCTCTCTTTCAGTAGTTCTCCAAACATTCTTAAGGACTTAATTAAATCTATCAAATATTTAGTAAAACGTTGACATACAGAATATATTTAAAACGATTCCTCTGAGAATGGCCTGCTTTGAGTGAGAGGTCTAAGTCCTGGTCCTTAGATCTCCAAGTGCAATTTGATCTAATAGTACTGGTGGTCTTGTTATTGAGTAAAGTACAATTTTATTGTATGGAAATAAAAAGGCTTTCATATGTACTGGGAGGCAGCAGTGCTGCACAGTAGAGCAGCTTTTAGCATTGATGCTTAACAGCAAATATCATCTAGGATAGGGGTCTTCAAGTGGCCAACAACTTGTCGACATATCTCTGTGTCAGCACTCCCGAGTCAAATAATCAAGTCATTAGCAGGACTTTGTAGAACATCTCTTAATCTGAATAAAAAAATAGTAGCTTCTAGCTCCCGTTTCTTCACCATTCACAGAGTCAACAATAAGGGCACTTATATGAGAAGGAAATCAACTCTTTATTCCTGTTTAGATCCGGACAGCCCTTGGCCTTTTGGCATTCTCAAAAAGAACCACTGAAAATCAAATGTAGTGAATGCCAAAATCTCTCTGTTAAAGTCAGACTGTAGTGATCAGACAGACTTAGGATCCCAGAATTAAGGCAGGAATGCTTATAAGGAACACTTTGGATCAGCAAATGTTAAAGAAACAAAGATAGAGTTCTTCGCGTGCAGACATTTTGTTATGGTGAAAACATGTTTCAACAGTGTGAAACATTTTAATCTAATATTAACAATTAGCTTCATCTATCCAAATAAATGTTTTGGGGCCCTTTGCAGGATAAATGTTCTATTTGTACTGAACTGCCATACTGTATATAAATAAAAGTACCTCCTCAATGTTCAATCTTTAGAGCGAGGGATCAACAAGAGTAGGTGACTGTAGCAACTCATTAACCATCCTTATCATTTAAAAGGAAGAGGTAGGGTCCCATGTCTGTATGAAACACTTCTGGTTTAATTAAAGAAGCACAACCAGTCCAGCTACTGTATGAGTCTCAGGTAATTTAATACAGGTTTTGAGTTTTATTATTAAGGGTCACCACCCTTTCAACAATGACATCGGGGAGTTCAGAGAACTGCTGACCCATTCATACATTTTGCCATACAAAGAGGTTTGTATAACTTTCCTCAAAAAAGAAAAGGGAATGTCCTAAATAACACAACTTTTTAAACATCTTTTTTTATTAAAAAAAAATATATTTTTTTTTAAATGAAAAAAAAGAACTTGTTTTGATGGCCAGTCGATCTACATTACATTCACAATACGTTCACTTTAATTTTCTCATTATGACACATTGACATTATAGACTGTATTTATTTTAAGTTTGAAATATATCAAAGACATTTTAAACTTAAATAGTTTAGATTGATATATAAAATAATTCAACAGAACATAGAATTTATTAAATGACAGGACATTGAATCTGTTTTTCTGATGCAATGGTGTTTAAGATCCAGCAGGTGGCAGTATAGTACAACACAGTTACACAGTACAGACCAAGTATCAATGCAGTTTGGGGAATATGCCAAAACTCTCCATGAGGCCTAATCTATCCATCACTAGAAACCAGGGAGGGCAAGTCAAGACAGGAAAATCTGGGAACAAAAGGCAGGCAGGACAGGAAGGAATGCTGGATAATCCACTACCACAAAGACTTTCATAAAGTTTGGCATTAACTAGATCACTGTTTGGGGGCTTATAAAGTCAGGAGGCGAGGTGAGCTGAGTTGCTCTGGTTGGAAGTTGGCATGGTTGGCAACGATAGAAAAAATAAACACTCCCCATTGAAGCCTGAGTCATAACACGGCACTTATCGTGGCATTGCATTCGGATAGAGTTCTTGATTGCATATTGAGTTAATTTAGCCATTTGATGCAGGTGGGTGGAAGCAGAGACACATCCTAAAGGGGCAGGACACTGGAGCTTAAGGTCTGGAATTGAAGACCCTGGTCTAGTAACCTTGCTTGAGCCAGACTGATAGTGTAGTTGAATTTGAATTCTATACAGTATCCATCTGGAAAGACTCCCATGGAAAGTGTTCTCTTAAAGGAAGGGACATTCAGCTGATGGGGTAAATTACCAAGTAGCATCTGCCTCCCATGACAAGCTTTTAGCCAATCCCAGCAGCAGTAGCAGTTGAGACATATAACATTTTTGATTTGTTTTATAATTAGCGTTGTTACCTGCTAAATAAAACTCTTGCCAAATGCAGTTTTGAGAAACATGCAGACATCTCTCCCATCCACAAAGCCACAAATCATTCCCTTTTGCTTAATTTGCAATTGACAAAAAGACCTGTGATAAGGCATAAAAGATTAGGGATAAATTTCCTGTGGTTGCCTTGATTGATCATCAGCTCAAATAGACAAAAAGAGAATAAAAAGGTGCCAAAGGAAGAAAAAGGTGAATGGGATATATACGATATATACAGTGTGTCCACATATGAGAGTTTTTTTTGTTTTTGTTTTATAGCAGGATTAATATACAGAGTTATTGCACAAGGTATTTACATAGGTATTGCTTAAGGGGTCAATCACAAATTTAACAAGTGTACAAAATGTAACCAGGACAAGAAATCAATGAGCATATGTGGCTATTGTTAAGTCAAATCATTGTTACCGAGTAGTTAAATACAAGTTGCTATATTGAAACATGTTAAAATCAAGACATCATAAACAAAACAACTGAATGAACATCAATTTCTGTGCACAAGTGCATTCAAATTTGCAATAATCATAATAACTGTTAGTGACACTTGTTGTTTTACATCAACAACAGGTAAATATTTTTTTAAAGAAAAAACTAAACAGAAAAAAAACAACACCCAAACTGTCCAAAAAACATTAACGGTTATCTCAAATTTTTTACAGGACAAAGCTAGATGATTCTTAGGATTTTTAGGAGCTGATGAGACAACAGTTATACTTTTTATCAGTTGTGTGGCCCATTACATCTGTTGTAAAAATAAAACTGCATTTCAAAAAAAGAACGTCATTTTAACTGTTAAATGTGGTGCTCATATTTTTTTTGTTGATTTTTTTCCTTTTAATGATGACAACCTTTACCATAAAAATTGATTTAGTGTTTATATGTGTTGTCTATGACTAATATTTCCATTTGCCTTTTGATCTGAAATACTTTGGTTTGTCAAACAAGCAAAAAAACAAAGAAATCAGAATAGTGCAAAACACTCTTTCACATCACTGTAAAAGCAAATAGGACTCCTACAAGGTCATTAGGTAAAAATCTTAGACACGCTTTCTCTGCCATCAATGCAACATTTTACTTGAACCAGTAGGTGGCGATAATTACAAAGCATGGAGTTTTACTCATCTGATAGGAATATATTTTAAGGTCAGTAAATTCGATAGTTTTTCATTAAATAATAAAAAGTGTAAAAAAAAAAAAAAGAAATGTTAGAGAATTCAATCGAATTGAAAAAAAATTGAGCGATCAAAAAAGACAGCTTTAATTTTCCTGGTGGTGTGTTGAAGTGCGTAGCCAGACTTGGCATTGCATGTGTGGGACACATTAATAAATGCATGAAATGGTTAAGCTCCCAGTGCCACATTTTGTAAATAATATAGGGTGTTTATGGTCGGACTCTATGAGTGAGTATGTAGGTCAGGCCACACAGGGCAAGTAGTCCAAGAAGCTGCTGCTCCGGAGAGCTGTGAACTAATTTTAGTTTTATTATGATGCCTTAAACTAAACTGAGTTGAGTTCAATCATCTGACCCAGTTAGTGAAGCTGTTGTAATTTGAGCCTCCTTAAAATGATGAGGTGATCCAACCTAACCTGAAGTACAGGCAGGACACTAAAAAGGGTTAAAAATGAATACATTTAAGCTCTGATATAAGTTACATTAATATAAATAAAAATATCAGCAGTTCTGATTCAAGCCTAAGAACGGAATTCTTGTTTCGACTTTTGCGAAATGTGAACATAATGTACTGTATGTTTTACATAATTTTTAATTGATTATAAAGTAGCAATTTTTTTTTTACAAATACAGAAACATTTAGATTTTCCAATCATCATTAAAGCTGAAAAGTAAACAATTTGACCCTGTAATGTTATAATGTGGTGTTTATAAAATCAAAGAACTGTTAAAAACAACTTAAGTGAAAGAGGATATAAATATGTTATTGTTACGTTGGGGTGCCTTTGTTGAGTTTTTGCTATTTAATCCACTGCACTGCAAAAAATTGAAATCTTAATAAGTCATTTTTTCTTAAAATAAGTGCATTTTGTGTTGAATTGAGGAGGTAAGTGAGACATTTTGCCAATGGAAAAAGACAAATTACATATAAAATAAGAAAAATAATTGCAGTCTCTTATTTCGAGAGCATATTTTCTAATTTTCTAATTTTAAGAGTAAACATACTAATTCCATTGGCAGATCATCTTATTTACCGACTGAAATTAAGGGTAAATACACTTAATTTAAGAAACTTTTACTTATTTCTAGATCATTTTTGAAGTGTGAAATATAATTTCATAACTTCATATGTCAGAACCTTTTCAAAATCGCTAATGTATGCAATCGTTAAGGTTTATCATGTTTATAGTTTGGATTTATAACAAATTTCCTTTCAAAATCTAACATTTCCCTATTTTTTGTTCACAGGGAATCCCTGACAGAAAGGCCGAAACTGCAGTCCTCTAATATATTGATATGCCTGCTCTAATAATGTACCATTGATGTTTATTGTTTGAAAGCGGTGAAAAAGAAGCTTAAAATAGGCATGGTTGATTGTTCAAAGTGAATCTTTTGTTAATGTAGAAGCTGAAAAAAAACCTGTAAATACTGCTGTTTGTTGGAGTGATTTAACTGCAACTGGTTTAAGTCTAACAAAAAAAATTTATATTCAATAAACAGCTAGATGACTGGGATAATTAAAGACATGTTTGTGGTTTGGTTCATGTGATCCAGGAAAGATAAATGATGTTTAAAATGTACTAACTGCACCTCTAAATAATGTCAAGAAAAAAAAAAAATCTTATTGTGAATAATTATATAGTTTAGAGCTAACAGCTATTTAGAATGAAACTAAGAGATGAAAAATAAGAAACAAGTTAAGAGCATTTATTTGTGAAGTAAGGTAAAAATAGGAACAAAGTACTAATTAGAAAGATAGAACACTCCTTGGGTAAGAGTAGCAATGCTAAAGCTATGGTTCATATAAGAATGACATAATTTTTACTTGTCAAAATATGGAAATATAATATTTATATGATATTTTTTGTTCTGTATTAAAGTCCCAAAGGTAAATTAAATGTTTTTTTCTGAAGAGTCATTATAGATTGAACGTTCTATTCGATGGCTGAATGGACTATGTATTTCTGTATATACGTTTTGACTTTTCCTTTTTGTAAAGTGCTTTAAGTAAAACATTTGTTGTGTTAGTTTCTGTGCTGCTTAAATAAACTGGAATTGAATTGATTCTGAGTTATATACTATATATTACATCTGTGGGTAGAAATTACTGCTTTCATCAATAAAAAGCTAAGCTTCTGCCATTTTTAAGATGTTATCTATTAGGGTTCAATCTCTTTGATAATTTCTCCTTGATTTTCTAAACTGAAATGATGGAAAACAATGAACAAACTGCTTATTTGTGCAATAATCATATATTCAATGACCACCCTGTGTGGTTGGGGTAAAGATCAAACTCTTTCCGAAACCAGTCGGGAGAAGAGCAAAAACATCTTTTCCTCTGAGAAAAGCCTCCAGAGCAGTGTTTTGCTCTTCTTTCAGTAAAGAAATACTCTGTAATTCCGATAAAACTTGCTCGATAGCCACGCTAACGCTAGTTTCATCGGCTGAAGCCACCATGTTCTTTAGACTGAACTGTCGCGCTTCTCGTTGCGTCACACCTCAACCCGCCTCAAAGCCAACGCTGATTGGACGTTCATTTGGTGAACGGCTCCAAATTTTCTTCAACAGAGAGTCTCCAGACTGATTAGCGAGTGAAACCTTGAAAGCTCGCGAGATCAGGATGGTCTCACGAGGCTAGACATAACTACCATTGCTCTTCAAATTACTGGCCCAGAATAAAGCAAACATCTTAAACTAAAGCAAACAGCTATTCAAAGTAATCAGTATAAAAGTAAGCTGTTAGCTTGACTCTCCAATGATAATTTAGGTCTGCATCTGCAGAGACTGAGATATCCACAGATGGTTATGACTGCTGTCACTGGAGACAGGATACTGACTATCCATAACTACTAAACAGTTAATTTATTCACAGACTGCACACAGACGAAGGGTCACATGGTCACGATATCACAGAAAAGTTATTCAGTTGAATATATTTTTTGTTCTGTGCATTACACAATAAAACAGCTCTTTTCTTAGTTTATTTCAGTAACCTAGGGTTTTACTTCTTTTATTTTCTCTAGCACATAAACAGTAAAAAGGTATGTTCAAAAGCAAACAGTAAATAAATAAACAGCTGGGTTTATAACCTGATTAGTATGAATTTTTTGTACACATCAGATCATGCATTAAAAAAGTTTTTGCCTTTAAATACAGAAGTAAACTTCATCAGCTACAGATGTATTCAGATATTGGTATCAATTATATTAAAGGGAATACAAAAACCCTCTGTCTTTGATGTGTTATTTTCGGTGTCATACTTTTAATGAAACCATTGTACAAATGCTACATTATACTGACATTAAAATGACTAATGGTAGTTCATTTGTCAAGTACTATTTGTAGTGGGCTGCGCAACTGTTCACATAATCTAGTTTAGCGGCACACTTACAAAGGTCACAGCTGTCACATAATAACAACACACACACATAGTGCTCTCAAGTTATCTACAGAGGCCATGTTATCTCATGGTAAGTCTCAAGCATTCCAATGTAATGGATGGATTTATCCAACATGCTGTAGGATTATGAGTTTAGATAAAACATATCTTTTTTTAAATGTTTTTTAAGCATGGTCCTTGTTAAAGGAAGCACGATGGAGCCTGCGGCTCACCAGCCTCCATGGCCCCATATTGTCATTCGCTGGTGATCTTTGCATCCAAATATCCTGCCTCTGTTAACTTGAAGTCCTCTGCTTCTTCAGAACATCATAGATGTCATCAGCTTTGCTGAGGCTCTCAAAGAATGGGATAAGATCCAGAAGCTCAGTGTCCGACATGTCGTCAAACCAGGAGACGACGGGAACCTGAATGTTTAAAGTTGTGAGAAAGAAAGGAATGAGAAGGTCATTTTAGCAGGTTGGAATACTTAGCGATTGAAATTTACAGACTACATAATGTATATATAATGTACCGCGTTGTCTGGATGGAAGATGTAGGAGGCTGGGGAGTTGTCTATAATGATGACCCTTTTAAGGTCTCTCCCCAAACGACTAAGATCTTTAACATAGTTCCCTTTGTGGTAGACACATGCCTCTCGAAAGAGCCGACTTTGGAAAGCTCCACCTTTATCCAACAGGTCAGACACAGGATCTGCATACTGTAGTGGAAGAGAATAAATGGCTGTTAAGACAATTCTTTGTAGAACAAGCCAGAAAATCCAAGGAAACTACTTGAACACACTGCAGCTTTGGTAGCATTCATACTGATGTAATATCTGCTGATATTTGACCAAAAGTTTCAGTCCATTGCACAAATGTTTCCTCAAAAGCTGTGTCACCAGAATACTTCATATAGTGAGAAATATTCTGATGTTTTAGTCTCTCTCTGTCTCCACATAACCATGTCTGTATTTTGATGTTTAGTGATTTAATTTCCAATGCAGTATTATTAGAAATGACAAAAATTCTTTGTGAAATTGTTTTTCTACATTAGCTTACATTTACTACATTAGATGGGAAAAACTAATTTTTATTCAATTTTAAGCCTTTGTATATTTTTAAACATTTGTTATTGCAAAAATAATTGATATTTCTTCAATAGTTTCCAGGTCATTTGACCCACTGACTCCAAATATATGTCAAACTGTTCCACTACTTTAGCCAGATGGGGCACACTCTTTTTATTCCATTTCAAGCCTTTTTATATTTTTGGCAAGGTGGGGGAAAGGATTAGCCTGACGTAGTCCTACTCAATTCTAGTCAGAATATGAGTCTGATACTGCTCCATAGAGCTGTGATTATGGGGCGTGTTTTGAACGAACCAGGAAAAAAAATGCCTCTGCACTCAATTGGATAGACCTACAACTAATAAGAGCAACAGAGTGTGTGACGTATGTTAAGCGATGCATAGTAGTTGTCAACAAAAATCAAGCAAGTGTGCAGTTGCATGCCTAGAATAAGAAGATGAGCCTTGATCACGTTTCTCTGTTCCTCTTTTGAAATTAATTTGCTGTCGATATCTTCTAGAACAGACCTAATAGCAGAATCTACTCACCTCAACTCTCCGGCGGCAGCCATTGTTGTTGTCACCCAAGCGCGCTTTGGTCACGTGGTTGATTACGTTACTGTTGATCATCTGTCCATCATCGTATAAAGCCCGCCCTGACAATTTGATTGGCCCGCCAGATATTGTGCTAGCATACTCGCGCTACTGTTGAGCAATGCCAGACCGAACTTCCCGACCTCAAACGTTGTGGGCGGGACTAAGTTCGGAATAGCACCCAGGCTAGGAAAGGATACCGGTTCGGTCGCTCCCCCAAATGTCCTCCTTTTGAGAAACCCAAATGTGGTCACCCTAATATACCACTGTGATTGTTTGCTAGGTCAGACCAATTTGACGAACAGCGCGATTTAAGACCTGAAATAAGTTCAGGAAAATAGGTTCTTATTTTATTTATTAATAGGTTTCTTGCACTTACTTGATTTTGTTGATGTTTTTAATAGTGAACTTAAAACCTATTTGTTTAAGAAAGCAATTCCAGTACATTTAGGGTAGTTTTATAACCATAACTTTTGTGACTGTAAATGTATTTTATTTGTATTTTAATTTTATGAAGCACTTTGTGACATCTATGTCTGTGAAAGGTGCTATATAAATAAACATTACTTATTTACTTACTTATAAGCACCAGTGCTTTACTACTTAGGTGTCTGTCTGCTCATCACATAATGTTTTATTTGTAAAGAGTCAAATAAAAAGGCAATTTAAAGATATTCTTTTAGTAAAAACATAAATGTAACTCAGAACCATTTGTCATTTTGTTTCAAAATTAGTGCTGAAAGACTATATTGTTTCCAGTATGACAGTAATCTCTGGAGGAGTAGGTGAACAAACCTTGGATAAGCTTGCTGTGAACAAAACACATTCGAACATCTCCCCCATTCTCCTGAGGAACTCATCAACATGGGGTCTCTTCAGTACGTGCACCTGGACATAGACACATAAAGAACATCTGTGTGAGATTCCCATGAAATTGGGAATCTGTGCTACTTTACAAACATGCAACAGACCTATTGTTATGCCATGTGAGCTGTTGATTGGATGTCTTTATCTCTTGTTTTAATCTCTTATCCTTTGATCTAATTCTACCATGATGTTGGCAGCCTTGTTTCTGAACCAAGTCATCCAGAATTGGCTTTCCCCACTTTTACAAGCCAATCCTGGAGTACTTGAAACAGACCCAGGCCCAATTATTATTATGTTTTAATAAGGTCTTTCTCTTCTAGAAGAAACAAGCACAACAGACTACAGTTGGCATTTACGGCCTGTAGAGTGATGTCCCTGCCACTGAACCCTGATGAGCTGGGTATAATATGTGATACATATTGAGATTGATGGCCAGTATTTCTGAGAAGTGTCGCAGGCTCTCCTTATTTTATCGGGACACTGAAATAGGAACCTACTCCTTGGGGCCATCAATATAAAGAGCTGCAGCCCTGCCAGGCCAATAGGACAGAGACTTTTATGCTGTATTTCTTAATACTGAACACTGCATGGAGCTAATAAAACAGCAGGTTTTTAAGCCAAATTCATGTTTTTGGGGTTGCAATCAAAATAGACTTTAATTAGTATTCATTTTTCAGTTTTAAGCTCTATTTTTTTCTAATAAAGAATGGTTAATGGTAACTTTTAAAACAGCATAGAATGATTCAAGTTCCTACCTGATGAACAACCCCTTCAATTTCCACTGGAATGATAAAATCTGCATTGCTTAAAGGCTGGTGGAAAAGAAAAATAAGCAACATCATTATAAAACAATGTGAAAATAATATGAATTGATTCATAAAGAATTTTAAGTGGTGTAGTAAAACATTACAAATGACAATTTATTTTCTTCAGGTAATATTGAAGCCATTTAAGCCTTGTTTATAAATCAGTAAAACACCAGTGATACAAAATTACTAGGCTAAAAAAATAAAAGACTGGCTGTGTGAATTCTCAGTATTTGAATTGCTCTTCTCAAATGTTAAATCACTTCAAGCATGTGCTATATTTGTGGTGTTGTGAGGTCATGCAGAAATAATTAGTTTTAGTGTTTTAAACTAGATACTATGTTTGGTCGGTT